CCAGCACCAGATGTCTAGAAACTGGGGTAATGTTGGGGGTGCTTCCATACGGAGTATTTACTCCACAATAGCCACACTTCAATCACTCACTTTTATGTTATCTACATGACAGTGTCTTAAATAAGTTGTCATCCTGTGATTTTCCCATGTTTCTTCTGCCTCTTTTTAAATCACAGATTCTTTGGAAAAAATGCAACCAACTATTAGTCTGAACACTAGAAATGTGATGGACCATACCCTGCCCCTAAAAAGTGCAGGGATAATTATATATTTTTTCAGGTATAAAGTAGCTTTGAATCCCCAGGTCAGCTTCCACAGAATAAAAATATTAGCATACAGTATCTGCTTGGATTTTGGTATTCTCTTTCTCGTTACATGCCTTCTAAGAACAATCGCTTCAAAATATATATATATGCAACACACAAAAGACACTTTCGTTATCTCTTTCCAGGCACAATGTTTCAGTAATGCCATTGCAAAGTTCACAGTATTCCAGCAGGTCCTCAGTATGCTGATTTCTTGGAGCAGGTTTTTGAAAATGACATATTCCTGAAGGCTACACCATGAAATCCTGCCAGCTATCTCCATTGTGCATGTTCTTTGACTGAGCCATCCTATTTAAATACAGCACTCTCTTTTATAAATTTGCTTTCAAACAGAAATCCTGATTTTCCTGTTGTAGTCAGATGAATTTGGGCAGCTGTTAAGACCGCTCTGGCTTCCATTACAAGCTGTTCTGCAACCATACTGCTATCACCATGGCACAAAGCCACTGTCACCTCAATTCTGATGTCCTTCATTGACCACTATCACCTCCAACATTCCAAAGAGGAGAGATGCTGGGAACACCCCTATTTTTATACAGAAGGTCACTTTGTGACCCTTACTCCTTTTGCAACTGTAAATTGCTGAAGGCTGCATCTTGCATGCTGTGTTCATTTAGTCTACAACAGTCTGCTCCACTTAAATAAAAATGAAGATGGTGTTTGTTCTTTTGGTTAAAGAGAGAAAAACCCCCTGATAATTCTTCTACATATTTATTTATTTGAATACATATGACCCACACTTTCACAATATATAATGAGGTGGCTTACAACATAAATTCAATAAAATCAATCAATATCTGTATAACATAATGAGAAACATCAACAGAAAAGAAAATAGATACTGGTTGGCTGAGGGGGAAAAATGCATATTGTAAAGGCCTGTCTAAAAACTTGTAAGAGATGTCTGAAAGAAGGCATAGATGGTTCCTGCCAAACCTCCACAAGCAGGGAGTTCCACAGGGCATATGTTATGTTAGCAACAGTTCCCTTGGTAGGCATCTGAAGTGTTGAATGTGGCAGATTGTGCACTGCTTGGTGTGGAGAAGGCGGGGGTGTTTAGGAAAGCCCCTCACGCCCCTTTTTCTTGTTCAACTGCTGCACAACAGCCATGCAGCGCTGCCAGCTGGGCCTTACGATCCAGTAGTTGCTGCTACCACCCTCCCACTCACGCTTGCAGCCCAAATGGAAGGAGCCCTGGTATGCACCAAAGCAATTACTTAGAAAAAGAAAAGGCTCTGAGGCAGTGCACCTTGAAGCAAGGCCAGCTCCCAGCTGCCTTATCCCACCCTCAACATCAAAGCAGCATGCTCATTTCCCTGGCAGACCCACCCTCACCTTACTAAAGAACGGGAACTCTGAGACAAACACACCCAGGTTCCCTAGACAGTTTCCTATGGCGTGCTTGGAGTGTGAAGGCAGCCCACACTCCCCAGGTCTTTCCCAGAGCTCAGAAGAATGTGCTGGTCTCTTATGACTCTGATCTTAAATTTTCAGTATGAATTACCAGCATATGGATATTCTAGAATCCTGATGTTGGCAATTGCAGACACTTCCATGGTCAAATCATGAAGCTTCATGAGGAATAGAGGGTAAGGGGAAAGCAGGCAGAATACAAAATAAACCAGAGCACTGTGCCTCCATTATTGGTTCCATCTCATAGGGAACCTCCCTATTTCCCTATACCTGTCTTATGATATACCTGTTTTGAGAAGCAAATTGGTTGTGTTTTTTTGGGGGGGCAGTCACCTCTTGGTTTTCCTGCACCCAGGTATGAGAGTTCCTTGGCACAAAGCTTTCTTAAGCACCCTCTCCTTCATAGGACAGCTTATCTGGCAATGGGAGCGGTGGTCGAATAAGTGCCAGGATGCCTTGGAGCTGTCATTTAAATGTCTGACATGGCCATGAGTGCCCCCCTCCCCAACATAGCATGGCCCCACAGCATTGTGGGAAATCAAACTGCTGGTCCCACACTGAAATGCTACCATTTTGAATTTCCCACAATACCCTGGAGTGATGCTACACCAAGGCCATTATGGAGCATTGTAGAAAATGTAAATGGTGGCTCTATGATGCTCATAGACTAAAAAAAAAAAAAAAAGGGTGTGTGCGTGCATCCAGGGAAGGCATGAGCAGTGGGTCCTGCTAAGACTGGAGCCTGGGGATGTCAGGGGTTGACTTTAGACCTGCCTTTTCCCCGCAGATTTCCTCATACACTCTTTTGTGCTTTTTTTTTTGGTTATTTGAGATTACACCACGGTTGACTTTACAGACTACATTTTGCAATGAGTGTGGTTATCAAACTAATTTCTTGTCTTTTTATTGTTCATTACACTAAGTATTTTGTAACTTCCCATTTCCCTATAAAATCAATAAAATAAATCTAAAACTTGTTCCAACATTAAGTCTCAAGGCTTCTCATTAGAAACTTCACTGTGAAACATATATAACCCAGTTTGAGATAGCACTTTAATTTGATGCATCTTGCAATTTGCAATTCTCACCATGAACACTGCAATACAGAATGAACTTGAAAACTTATCTCACACATTCACCGAGTACATGAATTGATGTTGAAGCATATGCTGCTTAGCTCATATATTACGGAATACGGTAGTCAGTAGCAAGCTTTAGACTGGTGAGATACTATGCAGGGGGAGAAAAAGACTCAAATGCATTGCTTCCCAGAAAGAAAGAAAAACACACAGCAAAATATATTTTGGATGAGCCTTCAATCCTGGTGTTTCAAGGAACAAAACAATTATTTAGGGAACTAAAAGATTAACCCACCTCTCTAAAGAATCATTTCGTTCCTTTAAAACAACACAAATCATGTGCCACATTTTCCTCCCTAAAACCACATTCTTTCTATCAGAATTTGTGCTCATATTATTCGTACAAATGTGTTAGGTCATATCATGCTTGAATAATTTGTTCCTTGAGGGGAAAACCTGTCACTGGAGTGGCTTTCAGCACAGAGTACAAGTAGATTCAGACTTGGAAAGAGGAAGTCCCAGTTCGATCCCTAGATTTGTGTGAAAAGAAGAAAATAATCTTTTAAGACTGTTGAATCATGAGCCATCGCAAAAAGAACCTCAGCTACCACCCTTTATTCTTTCTACTGTTGTGGTAATATTTATTTTTTTATCTGTTGCATTTGTATCCCAACTTCCCTCCAATGAGCTCAGGGAAAGCTGATCCTGAGGTGAAGGACAGAATGGGCCCACCTCTCATTCCATGTCAGGAATCTGCCCCCAAGGGAAGTTATGTTGTGCGGTTTATGATGCGCAAAAGGAGATGGACTGCAACCGTTGCTCTTCTCATGACTCAGTGGGTGGGATTTCTGTTGAATGTGTGTTTCAGCCTCAGAGCCCATTCATCATCTTTCCCTCTGCCATACTTGAAGCATCATCCATCAGTTGCTTCAGACTTCTTGTAAAGACATATCTTCTTTGCCCAGGCTTTCCTTGACTAGAGATGACCAAATCTGTCAGTTTGGTTTCTTTCAGTTTCTCTCTCTTTTTTCCAGTCAAGTTCAGATGGCCACATTTCTGAAGCAGTTTGTGATTTCTTGGTTGTTGTTTTTTAAAGTCTTCATGAAAACCATTCAGCATTTTAGTGCAAATGTCTCCTAATATATATATTTATATGCAGTTTCACCTGATACATACTTTTTCACAATGAATATATATATATGTATGCATCCAGTGCTTTTTTCTGGGGGTATGAAAGGGTACGCATACCCCTAAACATTTTGTGAAACTAATGGGAGAAGAAACTAAAAAAATTAAATTTTTTAGTTTCTTCTCTAGCACTGTGAATCGTCAGTTCCTTTGCTACCCCCCCATGGCGGCCTCATTTCCTGTCACGGTGTTTTCTGAGTCTCAGATGGAAGCAAGTGTTTAATGTGTGAAGCAGTGTGGCATGTGGATGTGTGGTGTTTTACTGATGAAAGTTTGGCCTCATTGAGGGGCAGTATTTCAGTATGAGTAATGTATGTTCAGGGATGCGGGTGGTGCTGTGGTGTAAACCACTGAGCCTTGGACTTGCTGATTGGAAGGTTGGCAGTTCGAATCCCCGCAACGGGGTGAGCTCCCCTTGCTCGGTCCCAACTCCTGCCAACCTAGCAGTTCAAAAGCACGTCAAAGTGCAAGTAAATAAATAGGTACTGCTCCGGCAGGAAGGTAAACGACGTTTCTGTGCGCTGCTCTGGTTTGCCAGAAGCGGCTTAGTCATGCTGGCCACATGACCCGGAAAAACTGTCTGTGGACAAACGTTGGCTCCCTCGGCCAATAAAGTGAGATGAGCGCTGCAACCCCACAGTCGTTTGTGACTTCGCTTAACTGTCAGGGGTCCTTTACCTTTAAAAAAAAAATGTATGTTCTTTGTACTTTTGTCCATTTACTGTATTTATTTCCCCCCGATTTGAACTATAAAATGATTATTTTCTTGAGTCAAAATGAGAGTACCCCTAAACACTTTTTTAATTGAAAAAAGCACTGTGTGTATCTATGTATGTATACTTTTTCCCCTAAAGAAAAAGGTGCCAGAACACACCTCCCTCAGAAGAGCTACCCCAGAGGCCAAAGAGGATCTCTTCAGGCTGCAGGGGAGTGTCTCCTCATGAGCCAGAGACTTCTAGAGACTCCTCAGCTGAGGCTTCGAGAGGCTTAATGAGCCCCACCCCCCTCCTGCAAGCCGGGTCAGTGTGGGGCTTGCTCAGCTGAGGTGTGGCTTTCCTGCATGCCAGCTGTTAGCTGGGAGGCTGAAAAGCCTCAGTAAAGCCCCACTCTGCCTCTGGCTGGGGAGGAGCCCATAGAAGATGTTCCCTTTAGGTTCTGAGGAGGGTCTCCTCATGAGCTGAAGGCACAGCGGGGCTTTGCTGAAGCTGGTCAAGTTTCTCCCCACACTTCCAGCTGAGAGGTGTCAGAACACAGTTCTGGAGAGTTCTGTTCTCCTTATACAACACACTTCATATTCACGAGTATAGGCGTTTTTATGCAGACTCATTCTTGATAAGTCCATTTTTGTACATGTTGTCTGGTTGGAGAACTGCGACTTTTGAAGGATAGCTGTGTTTCAGTTCAGATTTTGTTCCAGAAAGTGCAAATCAGGTAGCTTCACCTTAAAATCCCATCCATGCTTTGTTATTTGGCAGCCAACCACGTGAGGTACTAAAACAAAGACCTGTTTTGTTAAAGTGGAAAACTTATAGCCACGCTTTTCTATCAAAATAATAGCTGAAATAGTTTATAAAGTAAATAAAGATACAATAGCCAAGAACTATGGGAAGAAGAAAAAATGAACAGGAAATTGCTGTAAGCGAGTTGCATCCAAGCTCTGAGTAATGTGCACTCAGGGCTGCCCTCCGTTCCTTTGGTGTGTTACCTCAGACTTACCTGGCAATGGCAGCAGCACCCTAAAAGGTAGCCGAGAGCTTCCAGTTTAATTTCCCACAATGCCCTGGAGTGTCTGACATAGTGTCACTGCAGAGCATTGTGAGAAATTATTATGATGGCTTACATACCCACCTTCCCGATGTGGAAAGCCTGGGGAAGGTGTTAGTGGTTGGCCCCAAGAAGGTACTGGAGCCCAACAACCGCTCTAGGATGCCAGCTATTGAGGCCAGACCTGAGCAGCACTGATTTACTAACTACCAGAGGTCAGTTGCTTTCCGTCCAAGCACTTAGGTCTCCAATATTCCCCTTCACTATAGCACCTGTCTCTTGCCTATTGATATGATTTTGATTTCTACCTCATTCTGCAGCTAATCATTTTAGGCCTCCTGAAATATCTTTTCACCTTAGTGTTTTGTTTTATTGGTTTTTAAACTCACATTTTAAATTTTACTTGATGATCAATCGAATGTACTTCTGCACTCTACACCTGAAGGAGGGTGGGAAGGGAAAGAAAGGAATGTTTTTCTGCACTGATATTCCCCCCCCTTTTTTTTTAGTGTTCAGGCAAAAGAAATGAAGGCAATTTATTAAGTAGTGGGTGGACATAGCAGACGACACAGAGATTTCTCCAAGTAGTTCTTTATAAGTAGCTGGAAATGAACTGAACTGAACAGCAAACAGCTCAGCCGGCCTGCTTTTATAGGCAGCCGGCTATCAACACTGCAACAACAACAGCCCAGGGTTTCCCGCCTAAATTAACTTATGTGAAAACTATATGTATGTAAACCTCGGGTTACATACACTTCAGGTTACATATGCTTCAGGTGACAGACTCCGCTAACCCAGAAATAGTGCTTCAGGTTAAGAACTTTGCTTCAGGATGAGAACAGAAATCGTGCTCCAGGGGCGCGGCGGCAGCAGGAGGCCCCATTAGCTAAAGTGGGGCTTCAGGTTAAGAACGGACCTTTGGAATGAATTAAGTACTTAACCTGAGGTACCACTGCATACACAATACCCCCTGGTGGCCAGGGTGAGAACATCAATACATAACACAATCCTAGAAACTCTCAATAGGAATTGAATGCTACCGTATGATGCCTGACTGTTCGCAATACGTTTCATCCATGGAGGAAGTACAACATATTCTCCCTCAAATTCTTGGTCAAACAGGGAAGGTGGCTTGTACTGTAAAACTGTTGGGATACTGCCAGGGAGATAAAGTCCATCAAGGCCCCCAAGCCGTCTGCCGGACGATCCATCTCAGTCTCCCGTAGGCACGCAGTATCAACAATTAGCGACATGAGTTTCTAGAAAATATCTTGCCACATTCTAGAGCTCATGCACGCTCTATCAGCAGATAAATGCACAGCCAAAAGTTGCAGTCAGGAGAGCATTATTTACAAGTTTATTCAGCGTTGATCAGAACACAGAAAAACATGACTGACTGCTTTAGTGTCTGCGACACCAGAGAGAAAACGAAAGCAACAGAAAACATAAACATCCTGTGAACAGGAAATACGCAGACTCTGACTCACAAAGCCTGCTCCCTTTTAAGGTGGAACGGAAATATCCTAACATCCTCCCCTTTCCGTGTAACCTGTAGTACCTGTGGTTCAACCCAATTGCAACCTTTGTACATAAACCTTAAGTTGTTCTCTGTTAACAACCTTAGACAACAGATCAGCAGGAATTTCATTTCCTGGCATGTAGGACACCTGAATGAGTCCTTTCTGAATACACTCTCTTGCACGATGTAGCTTAATCTGCAAGTACTTGGTCCTTTGCTTGCAACTCTCCGAGTTCAGCAAAGCCAAACACGATCTATTGTCTTGATACACTTGTACAGGACATTTCACAGAAACTCCGATGTCCTTAAACAGTTGCATCAACCATTCACAATCCATGAGTGAAAATGACAGAGCATTGAGTTCTGCTTCACAGGAACTTAGGCTCACTGTCGTCTGCTTCTTGCACAGCCAGTCAAACAGACAGTGGTTGTACATGTAGCATACTCCAGAAGTGCTTGTACCATCCGTGGTGTCACTTCCAAAACTTGCATCTGCAAAGATTTCAAGACCTCCAGTCTTCTGACTGGTGAACCTCAGCCTGTAGTGCAAAGTCCCTTTCAAATAGCGGGCTATGCGCTTCAGAGCTTTCCAATCCTGAACAGTAGGATTGTTGGCATGTCTGCTAAGCAGGTTACAGCTTACAGCTATGTCAGGTCTTGAGCATCTAGCAATGAAATTCAACTTGCCTAGAATGCATCTGTACAGCGTTGTGTCAGAAAACGCTTCAGCAGTACTATCTACCTGGTAACCTGTCACCATCGGTGTGTCTGCTGGGTTTGCATCAACCAAATTCAACCTGGTTAATACATCAGCAATTTTCTGTGTTTGGTGTACCAGAAAATTACCTGCTTGGTCCCTCTCCACCTGCAGAGAAAGATAGTTGGATACCTCACCAAGATCCTTCATGTCAAAGTGCTCCTTCAGCTGAGCTAGGGTGCTTTGGTAGAAAGCCTGATTCTTCCAAAACATCAGAAGATCATCAACAAAACATAAACAATACAGTTTGTTTTGCCCCTCCTCCTTGACAAACACACATGGATCAGCTTTGCCCTGGTGAAAACCTAGAGAAAGCAACGTCTCAGTGAGCTTTGTGTTCCAACACCTGGCACTCTGCTTGAGACCATATAAGGATTTCCGCAGTTTACAGACCATTCCCTTCTGTATCTGCATCCCATCAGGTGGAAGCATAAACAGCTCCTCCTCCAAAATCCCGTACAAAAAAAGCTGTATTAATGTCATGATGGGAAACATGCAGTTTCTCCTCCGCAGCGATCTTGAGCATCAGCCGAATGCTCTCATATTTGACGGTGGGTGAGTAGGTCTCGTGGTAATCCTGTCCTGGTACCTGTGAAAAACCTCTGGCAACCAATCTGGCTTTGTGTCTGACAACCTTGCCATTCTGGTCTGTCTTGGCCTTGAAGACCCATTTGCTGCCAACCAGTCTCATCCCTGGGACTACCGGTACCAGTTCCCAAGTTTGGTTCCTATTCAAGGAATCAACTTCAGCCTTCATGGCATTAAGCCAAGGCTCAGCATCTTTAGAGGTTAACTCCTGAACCTCTTTGAAGCTTGAAGGTTCCCATACCTTCTCTGAGCTACTAAGAACAGCAGTTGCTGTCTTAGCAAACTCATCAGCAAATCTCTTTGGAGGTCTGCCCGTGGTCGGCTCTCTCAGATCTGCGTACTAGACGCAAGTCTTCTGGACTCATCTCCTCCTTCTTAGGAGAAAAGTGACCAATGGTGAACAGTGGTTCTTCCAGTTCATTGTCAGACGCATCAGATGGTCTGACTGAGGCCTTTGCGCTCTTGTAGTCTGCTGTGTCATCACTGTCACTGACATCAGCAGCAGCGCCGCCCACTGAACTGGAATCCGAACTCTGATCATCATCGTCATCATCATCCTCAGCAGCTTCCTCAGCTTTAGCTGCTTCTTTGACATCACCTTCATCCTCCTCTGGGTAACTCTGGAAAATTCCCACATTTTCCCCCCACTTAGGATTGTACTCAACACTCTTTGTGAACTTAATGGACTTAGAGTTGGTCATCCACACCCTGTATGCACCTTTTCGTACCCCATGAACAAACCATGTGCCCCACGCTTCCCAAGCTTGTTGCTCTGTGGGGTGTGTACCCACATGTCAGAACCAAAGATTCTCATGTGCTTGATGTTGGGTTTCTTACCAAACATCTTCTCATAGGGGGTACAACCAATAGGTGATGACAATCTGCAATTATAAGTGTAAACATACGAGTTCAAAGACTCCCCCCAAAACTTCTCAGGGAGATTGGCATCATGCAACAATGTTTTCAGTCCTTGCAGCAACATTTGCTTTGCTTGCTCACAAATCTCCCATGGAGATCCAGGACTTGAGAGGCTATGCTGGATTCCCTTCTCAGTCAGGAAAGCTTCAAACTGCCGAGAAGTGAATTCAGCCTCTCGATTAGTAAACAAACAGCCAATACGTTTACCGTGAACATTCTCCAACCAAGCACAGAATGCCTTGAACTTAGGAAACGCTTGCGATTTCTGCTCGAGCATAAACACATGAATGTACCTGGAAAAAGAATCAATTAGAACCATGAAGTACCTTGCTCCACCCAAAGAGGGCGCAAGTGGACCAACCAGGTCTGCGTGCACTAGCTGGTAGGGTTTGGAAGCCTGCCTGCTAGACTCCTTGCCTTTTGGAGCAACCTTCACCTTGTTCTCTGCACAAGATACACATTTCATGTGAAACTTACAGGGTTTGATGTTCAAACCCTCAACCATCTCTGGCATCTTGGCCAGCGCCTGCCAAGACATGTGACAAAATCTTCTGTGTGCATCATGAATGCATCCTGCATGAAGAACTTTGTTAGTTTGTGCAACACAACAAGAGTCAACATTAGACACAACAGCACCAATGTCATCATAAGTTATACAGAACAAGCCATCCATAAACTTTGCATGCAAAATGTCCTCTTTGCCTTTTCTGATGACACAGACGCTCCTCTTGAAGGAAATCTCAAAACCACGCCCAGTCAACTGTGGGACACTGAGCAAATTGTCTGCAGCACCTGGAACATATAGTACATCTTTGATGGTAGTGTGCAGACTTGCCAGTTTCACAGTCCCTTCTCCTGCGATTCGCAACGTCTTTCCGTCAGCCAGGTGGATCTCACCTTCTTGAGGTTTGAAGGAGATAAATAGGTGGCGGTCCTTTGAGATATGGCGGGTACAGCCTGAATCAACAACAAACCTGGCCTTGGCCTTTGGAGCAGCTTTTGCAGCAAGCAGAACCTTGTTTTCCACCGGCGTGGGCTTTTGCAGCTTGCCCCCTGCTCCTGGCCATCAGACATGCCTTTCGCCTTTGGTGAGGCTGTGCCAGCAAACAAAACCTTGTTTTCCACTGGCGTGGGCTCTTGCAGCTTGCCCCCCTGCTCCTGGCCATCAGACTTGCCTTTAGCCTTTGGTGCAGCTTTGTTTTTCTCTGGCGTGGGCTCTTCACCCTCCCTCTGCTTCTGGCCATCTGCAGGCGTCTGCCTCTGTTTACCTTTGCCCTTCCGGCCTCTGCAAAGGCGATGACCTTGGCTCCCATGAGAAACAGAGCTCTCAGCTGCCGACTCCTTGGCTCCCCCTGGAGGCTGGAATGCTGCCTGGGATGACGTGACAGTCAGCTCCCCCTGCAGCTTGCAACCGGTGCCCTCGGCATCCCTGCATTCACTCGCATTCTGGGAAACAGCCAGGACCTCCGATGCAGTCAAACTCTGGGCTGGGATGACTGGCAAATGGGCTATCTTCAAAGCATGCCACATCTTACGTGCAGTCAGATTGCCAGCTAGCGTCTTTATTTCCTCCAGAGAGACGGACAAGACGATTACGTCAACGGCCTTCGAATTTTCGGCCTTCCATCTATCTGTCAGAGGAACTGGAGGGGCTTCAGACACAGTATGCCACACTCCAAACTGACGCAGCAAGCTCTCACACCATTTTGCCCAGGTCTGATAGTTGTGCCGATCTAACTTTGGGCACTCAGCAGCCTCAGAAGCTTGGAAAAACTCCATTCCAGGTTTCTATTCGAGCCGTGAGTCTAATTCACTTCAGAGATGTCTTATCTCGGCAGCTCATAAATCTTGAGGCCTTTGGCGCGGCTCCCAGATCCATTAATCTGCCAGCCGGACATCAAAGGTGCTTGCCGCGGCAAACAGAAAAGCCTTACTTTCGCTTTTCCTCCACATACCTTTCAGCAGTCTGTCGCAGTCTTACTCTCCTGTAAGTGCTGTGAATCTGGGCCCATAACCTGTTGTTGGGATACTGCCAGGGAGATAAAGTCCATCAAGGCCCCCAAGCCGTCTGCCGGACGATCCATCTCAGTCTCCCGTAGGCACGCAGTATCAACAATTAGCGACATGAGTTTCTAGAAAATATCTTGCCACATTCTAGAGCTCATGCACGCTCTATCAGCAGATAAATGCACAGCCAAAAGTTGCAGTCAGGAGAGCATTATTTACAAGTTTATTCAGCGTTGATCAGAACACAGAAAAACATGACCGACTGCTTTAGTGTCTGCGACACCAGAGAGAAAACGAAAGCAACAGAAAACATAAACATCCTGTGAACAGGAAATACGCAGACTCTGACTCACAAAGCCTGCTCCCTTTTAAGGTGGAACGGAAATATCCTAACAAAAACTGGGGAGACAGCTACACAGCTGCAAATATAATGTTTTAAGTGCATTAAACAAATGCCATTAGATGGCGATGGTGAGCGAATGTCAAATTCAATATATATTTTAAAACATTTTTAAAAGCATTTTTCACAGCATTTTTATATATGTTTCATCATTTTTATTTATGTCTAGATTCAGTCCTACTGTATATCAGTTTTTGATACATGCAGTTATTCAACACTTTCCCTTTTCCAAATATTATCTTACATTCTTAAGCAGCTGTGCAATCCATTATTGGATTTTAATAATGGGCATTGGTTCCTATTTAATCCATTAAAAAAAAACACAACAAGCCTGAATTTTGAATGCTGGATATGACAGGCTTCCTCAACCTCGGCCCTCCAGATGTTTTGAGACTACAATTCCCATCATCCCTGACCACTGGTCCTGCTAGCTAGGGATCATGGGAGTTGTAGGCCAAAAACATCTGGAGGGCCAAGGTTGAGGAAGCCTGGGAGAGGAGGTTTCTTAGAAGGTGCTTGGCTAACACCTGGAGATCATCTGTGATCCCTGAATGAGGGGCTGTCTCTGGAGTAAATAGGAATTTGACCTTGGTTCATGTTCTTTAATACAGACCTACCTCTACGCCTTTGAGTGACTTGAGAATATCCGTAGCGCTGCCATTAGCACCAGTGCTGAAAGTCTGCTGGTTGTACAACCCCCAGTTCAACATTTAGCAAGGCTTGCTGCATCAGTGCTGCACATCAGACAATGCAAGGTCAGTGTGGCGTTACATTTTCATTACCACTGATTAATCTCATTCTGCCAATGCACTTGTAGTTTTGACCAGATCTCAGTGCAACTGGGTTAAGCATAAAGGGGAGAGAGCTTAGACTAGTACTGGTCCCTCACATAAGAGAAGCATAGGAAGAGGTTGTAGCTCAATCCCTGGGATCCCCAGATTGGGCTGGAAGAGACTGCTGCCCTGGATGCTGAAGAGCTGCTGCTAGTCAGTACTGAGCTAGGTGGACCCAATGGTCTGACTCATTATAAGTTAACTGCACAAGTTCATATTCTGTTGGTGGGGGAAAAGCTGCGGTGCAACATTCATTCATGTGGGTTCCACTTTGCAGGCAATTGCTTTGGACAAGTCACCATGTTGTCTATGCAATGACTTCACATGCTTTCCCTGCCCTGAAGCATAAGATGATAAGGGCTTAATACTAGGCAACATATTTCTTAGCATTAACCACTTCTGAGATGGGCATAACAGAGAGAAATGATAAAGGAGATAAAGGAGAATTGTTTGTGTGAGAGTCACAGCTAGAAGCTGCTCTTATCTAGTTTGTCTCTTGACCAATGACCCAGTCTGTTTCTGTAGAAGAATAACAGCGTAGCCTCTTGCAACCGAAGTTAAACAGTACTGAAAATTTGTCATCCTATTGTCACAAAAACCATTTTAGGCAAGCAGCTGCCATTATGCTGTGTGTATTGGCTGACTTTATTTCCAGTAAAAGTCAGCCAACGGCTTGTAATTATGCTGAATAGTTTCCTGGAACCTTACTTCCATAAATGGTGCCATATTTTCAGCAATATATCATCAGTGTGCCTTGCTCAGATTATTACACTAATATATCATTAGAGCAACAGCTAACTGTAGTGATGGATTAGTCTAATACAACTTTAGAGCAACAGCTCCCTCTGATAAATCTAGGATGCCCACCCCAATCTTGTGTATAATAAGTACTGTGCAACATTGTATTGCAAAGGAGTCTTCTGGGGAGATAGCTCTCAGTCAGTCTGAGGGTTTCCCAGCCTTGTGAAGGCTGTGACAGAATATAATTCTGACTTTGCGTGCAAAGGACCACTGGCTAATATTGACTGAAAATGTATTTGCAGGCCATAATCTATGAATGCAAACAATCAAACCTGAAATAAACAATAATGGGTGGTGTAGGCTATGTACAAAGAATCATGGGAACTGTAGTTTACCCCTTACAGAGCTACTATTTCTGGCATCCTTAACAAACCACAGTTCCCAAGATTCTTTGTGGAGGGGTGGGCTTTAAATGTATGGTGTGTGTGCAGCTCTAGAATGCACTACCTAGAAACAATTCCATACAATGGAGAGAGGTGTCGCTATTTCATTATTATCACAAGACCTAATAACATCAGGGACTCATTCACCTGCTCATCTTCTAAGGTAATCAATGCCAGCATTGCTTCTCTGCTTTCTATAAAGACTAAACTTTATGCATGGAATGAATAGAAACAAATCTGATATCAGAAAGGGCAATATTAAAAAAACCGGAAGGCGAACATTTCAGTCTCTCATGATAACATTTTCTGTAGCTATCCTGAAAGTTACCAATCTGTAACTGAGGAATTTAAAAGGCAGACTTCAGAGTGGAATGCCAGAGTTAGAAATTACAAAGTTGACTCTGGTTATTTGGGCTTGAACAAAAACAGTGATTTGTTTTCCCACTATAGGCATTAATTTCCTTATAGCAATCCTAAAATGATTCCGTTATTATCACCAGTTACTGCAGTTATAAATAGTCACCATGCTTCTTTTGCAAACATGTAAGCTCTGCTTCATGAAATAACAGTTTAATTGGTCTTCAATAATTTGTTCTGCGGCATGTCACTGCAGGCCGCAGCTAAGGTTCGTAACTGGTATGTCTGTGTATGTGAGAGAGAGAGAGAGAGAGTTATGGCAGCCTGGTTTCAAAGGGCATGTTGCATCCTGCTACAACACTGACAACATAAAAATCTGTTTAAAAAAGAGAGGGGGGAAGCTTGAGAGCAAAGTTTCTGCAGATTATGGGCTAGTCATCTGATACCAAATCTAGCTGCTGCTATATGTGGGCTGATGCACAGTGGTGGTTTGAGATATAGAAGCAGCAAAAATGACATGATGGGTCTGTGCAAATTACTATACCTGTAGACTAAATTGTCACCACCGTTCTGAGTTTCGTAACACTTCATTAATACTTTTCCAGCACCACATGTTGACATCTACTCCCTCCAAAGCAAGCTTTGGCAAGTTTAAATTACATCTTGTTCAGAAGGGAAAGGCAAATTCTGTGGCTAAAGAGCCCATTACAATGCAACATTGCTCTCTGTGTCCACTGGAGTGAATTAAAACTCCAGAATCCCACCACAACATCATGAAGATCACATCTGCAAAGCTGACCCGTGCTTTCTTAAATTGCATTCTGTTATGTACTGAGTTGAATAGGATCCAAACTGCAGCAGTCTGATTGGTCCTAGAACAATAGGATCCAAAATGCAGCAGTCTGATTGGTCCTAGAACAATAGGATTCAGAATGCAGCAGTCTGATTGGTCCTAGAACAATGCAGCAGTATGATTGGTTGGCAGGAACCACCCAATCCTGCTCCAGATAGAAGTGAATCCACAACCTGATTGGCTTACAGTAGAATTCCGGAATTACCCAATCATGTGCAGCCCATTGTGTAAATAATGTATATAAAGCAGATACTGTGAGGGGACTTTCATTCATTCCTCCTCACCACTATGAGCTGAATAAAGAGCATGAAATCACTTTGCGACTCTGAGTATATTTCACATTCTAATATACAGAATGCTTCCCCCGACCCAAATCAGGCTGAAGTTATTTTTTAGAGACTAGGACCACTTCATATGTTACATGATGAAAAGCGGAAGATCAAATTTAAAGAAATAAACAAACTTTGAATGAATAAATAAACAAATCCCAAACTAATGACAAAATGTGGAGCTCTAAACTTCATATTGGAAAGATGAGAAACTGAAACGAACAGACTCAAACATCTCTAGAACCCCTACAAATGAAAGTGGTACTCAGGGAGCCTAAACTTCTGTTCTAATAGATGATGTCCTTTTATTTTTCTCCCTCTGTGTTGCCTGTTGCTGTACAGTTACGCTGGTGCTACCTGCTAGCCCTAAGCGGATAGCTGTGATTTCGTCAACCTAGCTTGCTTTCTGCTTGGTTCGATGTTGTGCCCGAGGCTGCCACTTAAATCAAATTCTCCTTTCTTGCTGAAACGGATGCTAACACACCCCTCCTATTCCTTTAAAATAACCTTAATCCCATATCGTGTTCCAGAAATTTCCCTCTACAGGCAAGGACACAATGAGCTGCTGCTGTTTGATGCCTTCTCAGGAGGGAAAGAGAGGCAATACCTCTCTGACCTAAAATGACCTCCTTCTCCTCTCCAATCTCTTAGCTAGGGTTGGGGGGAAGAAAAAGTGCTACACTGTTCTGTTAAGAATTGGGGCAGGGCTGGCAGCTTTGAATTCTCTTAAAAGTGAATCTGATTTTACAATTTTTCATGCCACGTTCTTCTAAGGAGCCTCTGACCCTAACTTTGTCCTCACTGTCACCTTGCAAAGTAGGCTGGGTCAGTAGGTTGTGATTGTCCCAAGGCCACCCAATGAGCTTCATGGCTGAGTGGGGAATCAAACTCAGTCCTAGTCCCAGTTCCCAACCTCTACACTACATTGTCTCACATAGTAAATAGCAAGTATAGCTTTGTGTATGATACAGCTGCTAACAAACTGACACAGAACCTCTTGGTGCATATTGTTTTTATGTTACAGGTAGGTAGCCGTGTTGGTCTGCCATAGTTGAAACAAACAAACAAAATTCCTTCCAGTAGCACCTTAGAGACAAACTAAGTTTGTTATTGGTATGAGCTTTCGTGTGCATGCACACTTTATGTGTGTGTAATGGTTCTAGGGGTTGCTCATGCGTAAGCCGGTGCAAACATCTGGCTGGGTTGCCTGAGTGAACCTTTTCTGTACGGACAGCCACTCACCCGTGGCTGTCTCAATCGCTGGCAGAATCCGTCAGTGGGCGTTTCTTAAACTTCTTCCAGCAAAGAAGCTCTTTGACGCCTAGTCTCCTCCTACTCTCTCTGCGCGAAAGCCTTCTGCGCAAGGAGGGCGTGGGCAACGGAGGACCCCTACTCTCCCCGCTGGTCCCAGGCAAGGAGTCATGGGACCACCTCGCCGCTTCCCCCATCTGCCCCCCTTCTCCACTGCTGCTACGCTGATTCTCTTCCCCAGAAGATGGGCTGCTTCTCCTAATCCCTGGACGCTCTCTGGAATCCCTCTGGCTTTTGCTCTCTCCCTCCAGCACTGATGGCAGTTCCCTGACAGTGTGCATGTACAATTTTACCAATGGCGAATCTTAAAGTGTAATGCGTGCAAGAGATACATACACACACATGTTTTAAAATTATTGTTGGGGTACACACACCTGAGAGCTGCAATGGACTGCAGTGCCTTGTCAGGTTTCCACTCAGCTGTCAACCCAAGTCTGTAACCCAGTAATGTGTGAAATGGAATGTGAAAAGGAGAGTAAATTGAAATAAGCTGGATTCCAGCAGAACGGGCTTCAGTAGAAAGGAATTAGAGGTCAGTTAAAGAACAAGCAATAGTATCGAACTGCTCTACAATATAATTAGAAAGGGAAATAAGATACAAATATCCGTGAGATACACATCTCAGCAGCAAGCTAACCCCTCTGCAGATTGTAAGGCAGGATTAGTATTGATTCTCACAACAGGCTCTTTTTGAACACTTATGCAACTGATCTCCACCCCACAAAGACAAAGCATTGAATGGCTAAGTAAAAGTCAAGGGGTTGGATTCAAACTTAGTCATGCTTAGAGGAGACCCATTGGAATCAATGGGATTTACATTAGTCATGATCGAATCTGGATCCAATCCAATAGGGACAATCAATCATCCAATATGAAGTTGATATTTCAAAATGCTGTTTGCTCATTGTGTGCCCTTGTGAATGACTAAGGGAATATAATGCAAGGCTTTGGGTTTCAGTTACTTGTTGAGAATCAGCAGATTCTCAGTGATGTGACTGTAATTTTCAAGGGACAGTATTCATCCTTTAGTAGCACAGTCCCATGCATGTTCATTCACAAGTTAGTCCACCTATGTGTTTTGTAGGGCATACACCCAGGCAATAATGTATATGATTGCTTGCAATTCTAATCACAATTAGTTGGGAGTCAGCCCTCTTGAACATAGCGACAGTAAAATTTACTTCTGAGTAACCATGCATACCATTGTGATAATGGTAATTTTGGGGTCTTTCAAATAGCTTCCCATTTCTCCCCCACTCTTAACAATGTGACATCTCTTTGCCAGATGGCATATGCTACTTATTTATCTGTGTGCTATGGTGATATGCTAAGGCAATTCCATTTCATTTTATACCAGTATAATTGAGGCTGAGCTAAGTAATCTCAGTGTGAGATTTCATGAGGATCCCCTCCCCTTTCCTTCTTCCACACTCATAAATTATTTCTTAACAGTGATTAGAAGTTTGTTTATATAGTGCTATCATTTTTGCATAACAATTATTCACGTATGATACCTAATAGAAAAGAAATTGATTGCATATTTGGGGATAAAAAGGTAGAGAGTTTATTAACGTTATGAATTATGAATCCAGCTAATATAGGATAATATGTGTGTGATGCATTGTAGAAGTATTTGTGCAATCACTATCCTGTTTCCCCCCTAATATTCTGTAGTTATTAGAAAATATAGGGCTACATAAATCTTCTTTGGCCTTCTTCCGCAACTTCACATTGTTTTATAATAACTTGCCGAGAATCTCAATGCAATGACCAAAATCCATCAGCAATTACAAATTACAATAACTAAAACAAACATCATACTGAGACAATAATCCTTCTCTTCTCACTATGAAAGAACCTTCAGGCTAGAAGGAAGGAAATTCATCTAGAGCAATATAAATATCTACAAAGTCAATTTATTCCTGTTGAAAATTCTAAATGTCACTGCTTAGTGCTGTGCAAGGGATTTCACATCCAAATGATTATTAATAACAATAAACTTACCTTTTTTACAGCACTTTTTTATGGGAAGGCTTAGGAGTACATTCAAGCGATTGCTCCATCATGTCACAGAAAATGGATGTGAAGTAATATCCTCCAACGTGCACCAGGGATGCGAGTGTGCCAGAAGACGTTGGCTTATATGCCACAATAAATAAAGAGTGCATAGCTACCAGTGGAAGTTAATGGGCCTGTTATCCTGTGATGTGTGCTAGTGAGGACAAGGTTGGGGACTTCCGGGGTGGCGCCATCGGTAATGGCGGACTCCCTCTGATCTGGAGGGACCAGCTCCACGGGAAACGGGTCTTTCCCGCTACGGCGAAGCGGGGACCCTTTCAAAAATCACAGGCGGATGAAGCCTGTGACCATGGGACTCGGCGGGCACCTTTAGCGCCCCCCCAACCCGCAAAGGAACCCACTAACGGGCTCCGGAGTGAAGAGGGGGAAGTGGCGCGGTGCTGAGAGTCAACTGCTTCTTCCGTGGAGCGAAGCCGCACAGCCGTTGCCGGAGAGCGCTGCCTTTTTCCTGGGACAATTTGGCTTTTAAAACAATTACCCGAGAGTACTTAAATTTTGGACAATTGGACTTCAAATAATGATTTGCGAGCAGAAAGGAAAATTGGACTAAGAAATTTACCTCAATTTGGCACTGATACTGGAAGGTCTAAACAGGAAGTTAGCCTTCCGTTTCTTGTAGATAGATTAAAGCAAAGACATGGCAAACTAGAGTTCAGAAAATCGCCTGTAAAGGATTAACTTTCATCATTTAAAATTGTTGAACCCCCCTTCGGAAGCAGGAGAAGAGGGGGGATTTTTTCCGGACTGTTTAAACCTGCAGAAGACAGTGTAACGCAAAGTAACTTTCCACCATCTTGATCCTGGAGCGGGGTGTCAGGACTGACGTTCTTTGGGAAGCTCATTGACCAGAGACAAGCGTCTTTGACAGATAGTTAAAAGAAGAGAAACATAGTGATTCCATTGTTCCCCTTCGCATTTTAAAGGAACAAATATTGACAAAATATCTGAAAAAGGAAACTTTGTTGTTAGATCTGCCTTTAAAAGAAAAGAACAAATAGAAGCTCTTCCCCTAGCGGGAGCCTGTGAAACTGTTACTAATTCTGAACCGGGGAGCTTGCAGCTGCAATAGATTACGATCATGGGAATAGACTTCTGACCTTGCAGAACAATGTACTCAGAAGCTCTGCTGCGTGCTTTCTGTAAAACAAGTGCCCTACTGGAACAGCTACATGAGAAGACGGACTTGATGACTGTTGCGATCAGAAATTTTGGACAGGTAGTGGGAAACTATATAGAGCCCACCCAGGAATCAAATCAGGAGTGTGCTCTGACAGAACAGATGAGGGAAGAGGATGCTGCTGAACCTTGGGCGCCAGAGATGGAGGGAGCTGTGGCCCAGCAGGAACATGAGTTCTTGGATTTGACAAATGAACTTGGAAAAAGCCAGATTTGGAAAGATAAAGTTTGGTTTGGTTTGGAAATGGGGGGTTGGATAGACCCCCCTATGCAGGGATGTTTGGACTTTTCAAGTCTGGCAATGGGCCGTGAGATGTTTGGGGTTGTGGGGGCTCTTAATTCTGGAGGGACTTTGAAACATGTTTTTAAATACCACATGGAGTTTAGTGTGGACTATGGAAAAGGGGCTGATTTGTCGAGAAGGGTCAAAAACACTGTTAAGTTGGAGTTCCCACGAGTGAAAGGAGCAGGAGACAAAGTAAAGTACAGGTATAAATATGAAGAAGAACTGCGGATGGGACATGGAAGGGACTTAAGGGCCTCGGACATAAGATTACCAGGTTAATGCGCTAGATTGATGGGATAGAAAGGACTGACAAAACCCGGGACCAGGAGGAAGAGACGCTGGATGAAGATTGGAAGAAAAAACATTTTTTTATTATTATTAGGATTGTTTTATAAAATTGATGAACGTTAGAAAAATGTTGGAATGAAATTATTTGGCTTTAGCAAAAATGTTTAAAGAATTATGTAAGAATATTATGGTTAGGAGAAATTGGTATAAATAAGATCTAAGTTTTAAGTTTTAAGGTCTTTTATAGTAAGATAAGATTAAAATAGATTAAGGTAATGTAATGACAGAATATTATGAAATATGGAAAGGATTTGCTGTGACAATTAACAACTAGGATACAAAAAAGGGAGGAGTGAGGAGGTCAAAGAAAGAAGGCAATGACAGTTAAGGATTTGAGAATATTGGATTTGTTTTTAAATGTTTGTGGCATATTTTTGTCTTTTGATTGTGTCGTGTTATTTTTTGATTTTGATTTTTATCAATTTGTATTGTTCGATTGTGGTTTGTTTTTCTTTTGTCTTTTTCTCTCTCTTTTTCTTTTTTGTTTTTCTTTCTGTAATTCTAAAATTCTTAATAAATATCATTTTTTAAAAAAAGACAATGTCGTGTCTTTGTGGCCTTCTAGTTGTGCTTTGTATGTGGGCTAAGGTAAGGTGATGTCATTGAGGTGTTTCATTGTTGCTATGTGTGGATTGGCTCCTTCTGCACATGGCTAATATAGGATCATTGCTGGCATTTCAACACCATGATTGGTGGGCTCTGCAGTTGTATAGATCAGGGGTTGGCAAGGTCTACCTTGCCTGGGTCGGTTCACTCCAGCGGAGATCCCTCTGTGGGGTGGATTGCGTGCGTGTGTGAGCGCGCCCCCGCAATTTCCGGCATCTGCGTCTGCGCAGAAGTGATTTCCGACACCGCGGAAGCGAGTCCCCGCACTGCACTGCGCCGGTTTAGCGCAGCGCAAGGGGACTCTCTGAGCGGGTGGCTCGGTTCGGGGGCAGCACGTGGGACACTTAAACGACCCCCGTGGACCACTTGTGGCCCATGAGCCTTAGGTTGCCTACCCCTGGTATAGATGCTATGAGTCTGTCTGTTAGTGTTATATGTTATCTCCTGTTTCTAGTGGCATTGTTTTGCTGCCGACATTTCTGCCAGGAGTACATTGGTCGCTTGGCATAGCAGAACCACTAGATTAGACTGCCTAAGTTATTGTCAGTAGCATAAATACTGATTTTTAAAGGAAGTGTGTTGAAGCTTCTGTGTTGAAATTCAGCTTTCAAATCACAATGCAGCTATCTAAGTCATGTTTTATTAGGCATCATCTCTAAACATAATTCTAAAGAGGGTTTGCTATATGTTAATTTGAAAATATATAGTTTTAGTTACAAAGGAAGGAGGGAAGGTTGCCTGTATACTGAGCTACTCTGAAATGTTCAGTTTATTCTGCTCTTCTTAAGGAATGCAAAATAAAACGTTTCAGGTCCCTAAAAACTTATGCAAGCTAGGTCCATATGGTATTTAAATAACTAAACAGCTAACATTCTTAATTTTTAAAAAGGACAACTGTGCATGCAAAGCAACTTCCTGAAATGCTCTCCCTGCCCCCCCCCCCCCGCCGCCATGAACAGATTGTCTGGTGTCATAGAGCAATGTTTTAATACTATCCAACTATGTAATTACTAGTCACAAATGTTATTTGTAAATCCATATCAGACAATATCAGCTGACACCCTCTTTCTGTCCTGGTGTCATATGAGATACAGGCAATTCATCCAGGCTTTTAACCATTCCAGCTAAGTTGTCCCTTATTTGATGACTTGATAACTTATATGTGCTTGTGGCATCTTGGGATAGAATTCATAGCAGGCCGTAGTAACTCCTGGAATGGTGGACTCAGAACTGTCCCAATGCCTATTTTTATTTCAGTAATCAAGTTTTCATACCAAGGTAATCTCAGTAACCTAGAAATACTTGATGGTGGACAGTAGTCCATGAAAGCTTATGCCACAACCACAAGACGTTTATTAGTCTTTAAGGTGTCACAAAACTCTTCGTTGATTTTCCTGCAACACTGTCCTGTCCTGTCTCCAATCCCACTTCCCTTACAGTGACCATTTTATTTCTTCCATTCAACCATTTATCAAATTGTATGGTGAATGGATACATGATGGGTCATTGATCAAATGAGAGTTAAAGTGGACGAACAGTAATTTTGAGTCAAGGAATCCAATAGTTTGCCAAGTGAGTGCTGAATTGAACAAACAGTATTAGACAGAGAATCAAAAGAGTGAAAGTAAAGTCAGAAATATTTCATTGTCTTCATTGTGTACACCCCCAACCCTTTTGGTTTCAGGAGTCACTCAGCAAAGAGTGACAAGAATCCATTCAATTTCTTCTGAAATATTTTTTTACTTTATTAAACCACATTCCCCCCCCCTCCATGGGTTGCTAATTACAAAAGGTCTTGGGTCCAGCTGTGATCCACAACCGTGATCAGAACAAACATCAGTAAGTTTTGTTGCATCTATATATCTTCCTAGAGTGATCTCAAACAGCCTGCAACAAGATTACACGTGGTCACAATCACTAATTTTTGAAAATAGCATTACTTATGCTAAGGACAGTTATTAACACCATCTGGTAAGCATTTTTGTTTTATTTATAATTTATTTGTTTTACTTAGGAATTCCTGATTCCCAACCTGCTCCTCCTCCTCCTCCTCCTCCTCCTCCTTTTGCTTCCCACATTGATTTCGGAGGACTCAATAATACACAGTCTGAGACCCTCTGAATTAATCTGTTCAGAGTTGAAGATATTTGACAGTAGAGATGAAGAATGACTGTCATATGACAGAAAGCCCCACCCCCAGCTTTCAATTATCAGAAATAAATAAGAAAATGAAGAATGAACCCTTTTGTGGTTGTGGGTGGAACAACATGAGCATTGTTAAATGATCTAAATACCACAATGAATTAGACATTCTGATTCAGGGCCTTCTGAAGTGTAATAAACAGATTGTTAAAATTCACTCTGAAATTGATGTATTCAGAAGATTTTCTTGTCAGCAGGCAGCTAACGGGCAGTTCCAGACATGTGGAACAAAAGCTTTTAAGCACTAGTGTAATTATTTTTCTTCTAGGTAGGAAAACATCCTGGCTTTCTTCTTCTTCACATGTTTTATTTTGATGCCAAGAGAAATATAAGACAAAAAAGAAGGGGTGGCTCATGGCGAGTTTTAAAAAACTAGCTGTTGAATAGACACCAAGTAATTTTCTCTCCATGGCGTGTTCTTCTGTTGAGGAACAATAGACCTCTGCTGTTTAGCATGGAGTCTTTTTTTAAAAAAAAATATTTTTCTTATTTTGTGATGGAAAAAAATAAAAAACCAAAACTATACTATGCCTGAAAAAGAATATTGGGGGGGGGGGGGGTGTTTCCGCAAAACAGAAGTTTCTAGTCATTTCAGTTTTTAAAACCCACCAGAAAATGAAGTGATCTTCATTACAAAATGACACCTCAATCCTTGGATTGAGGAATAGTGTAGAATAAGTGGGCTTGAAAAATCATTTGAGAAGTAATCTAATTAATTAATTAATGTCATAAAATTAAGGTACTGCTTGAATGATAAAACACATCAACACCCCACCTCAGAGTGGTTGGAGGGACACATCTGAGGAGGCAGGTGAGAAGGAAAGTTCAAAGCAGATATTTTCTTGGACTGAGCAATCAAAACCACAGGAAGCCATCATAATTTACCTCTGGATAAATTAATGCCAGGGGTAACATCCCTATTCCATTTTTTTAAAAAAATAATATTTATTGTGAATTTTAAGATTACAAAGAAACAAAGAAAAAAAAGAAGGAAAAAACAAGTAACATTTAAACAATACGAATCAATAAAAAAAGATCAAAAAGAGAAAAAAACAAAACACATAATACATCAAAATCAAAAAGCAAAAATAGACAAAAAATTTAAAAACAAATCCAATATTCCCAAATCATTAACTGTCATTACCTTGTTTCATCGACCTCCTCACACCTCCCTTTTTTGTATTCTAGTTGTTAATTATCTCAGCAAATCCTTTCCATCTTTCATAATATTCTGTCATTAAATTACCTTAATCTATTTTAACCTTATCTTACCATAAAAGGCCCTAAAACTTAAAACTTAAATCTTATTTATACCAAATTCTCTTAACCATGACATATTCTTACATAATTCTTTTTAACATTTCTGCTAAAGCCAAATAATTTCATTCCAACATTTTTCTAATACTCTTTACTTTTACAAGATTTTCCTAAATAAATTGTTTAAAACTTTCTTCCAATCTTCATCCAACGTCTCTTTCTCCTGGTCTCGGGTTTTGTCAGTCCTTTCTATCCCATCCATCTAGTCCATCAACCTGGTAACCTTATATCCGAGGCCCTTGGATCTCTTCCATGTCCCATCCGCAGATCTTCTTCATATTTATACCTGTGCTTTACTTTGTCTTCTGCTCCTTTCACTCGGGGAGACTCAGCTTGACAATGTTTTTGTCCCTTCTCGACAGATCAGCCCCTTTTCCAAAGTCAACACTGAACTCCATGTGGTATTTAAAAGCATGTTTCAAAGTCCCTCCAAAGTTAAGGGCCCGCACAACTCCGAACGCCTCCCGGCCCAAAGCCAGACTTGGAAGATCAAAACATCCCTGCATAGGGGGGTCTATCCAGCCCCCCATCTCCAAGCCAAACAGAACTCTGTCTCTCCAAATCTGGCTTTTTCCAGGTTCATTCGTCAAGTCCAACAACTCATGTTCCTGCTGGGCCACAGTTCCCTCCATCTCTGCCTCACTAGGTCCAGCAACAACCTCCTCCCTCATCTGATCTGTCAAAGCACACTCCTGAATTAATTCCTGAGTGGGTTCTATATAGGTACCCACTGCCTGTCCAAACTTTCCGATCCCAACAGTCATCAAATCCATCTTCTCATGTAACTGTTCCAATAAAGCACTTGTCTTACAGAAGGCCAACACCAGAGCCTCCGAGTACATTCTTGCTGAAGGTCAAAGTCTGGTCCCACGATCTTAATCTATTGCAGCTGCAAAGCTCCCCAGTTCGGATTTAATAACAGTTTCACAAGCTCCCTCTAGGGGAAAAAGCTTCTATTTGTATCCATCTCTCTCTCTCTCTCTTTTTTTTAAAAAAGCAAATCTAAGAACAAAGTTTCCTTTTTCAGATATTTTGTCAATATTTTGTTCCTTTTAGATGCGAAGGGGAACAATGGAATCAATATGTTTCTCTTCTTTTAACTATCTGTCAAAAACGTTTGTCTATAGTCAATGAACTTCCCGAAGACGTCTGTCCTGACACCCCGCTCCCAGGTTCAGGACGGTGGAGAATTGCTTTTCTTTACTTGTCTTCTGCAAGTTTAATCAGTCCAGAAAAAGTTCCCCCCTCTTCTCCTGCTTCCAAGGGGGGTTCAGTAATTTTAAATGATGAAAATTGATCCTTTACAGACGATTTTCGTAGCTCTAGCTTGCCGTGTCTTTGCTTCAATCTATTTACAAAAAGTGGAAGGCAGACTTCCTGTTTAGACCTTCCCGCTTCAGTGCCAAATTAAAAGAAATTTCTTATTCCAATTTTCCGTTCTACTCACGGACAGTTATTTAAGCTCCAATTGTCCACAGGAAAAAGTCAGCGCTCTCCGGCAACAGCAATGCGGCTTCACTCCGTGAAAGAAGCAGTCGATTCAAGGCACCGCACCACTCACCCCACGTCGCTCCGGAACCCCGAAATCGGGTTTCCCACGAGTAGGGGGCGCAAAGGTGCCGGCCGATCCCACATCCACAGGCTTCTCCTGCCTGTGGTTTTTGATGGGTCTCCGCCTCGCCGTGGCGGTTCAGACCCTGTTTTCCACGGAGCGGATTCCTCCCGATCGGAGGAAATCCGCCATTGCCAGAGGCGCCAACCCGGAAGTCCTATTCCAAATCCCATTCAGCAGCCACTGGGAGGGGCTAATGCAGAGGTGGAGCTAAGTGCTTCGGCACCCGGAGTGGCGCACATGCTGTGCACTTGGGGGCAGGGCTAACTGCCCATGGGGGTGGGGTGAGCATCCCGGGGGGGCAGCGTGGCGATGTCACCCCCCCCAGGGATGACACCCAAGGCGGACCACACCCACCACACTCCCCCTTACTCTGCCAGTGGGCTAATGTCAGCTGAGGTAGCCTTAACCTAGCAGAGGGAAAATAAGCAGTTAAAACCGTGAGTCAGCTAAAGGACCCTTTCAATAATGAGAGTAGCCCAACAGGTTATGTGCCTTCCTGCTGGTAGTGTACTTTCAGTTTTCTTACTGTTTTATAACTGCCCAAATTTAGCACCAGCTCTGCAGCAGGTGTTTCCTTTCAGCATCTACCTGGGTTGTACTGTTCAATCACTTAATTATTTTGCTTAATGTACACATTTTTGCAAAGCAATGTCCCCTTAACATTTGAATGCATTTCTATAAGTTGTTTTCATTAACATACACATTTTCATGCACACTTTACTCTGCTAGGTGCCTTTCTTATACTCCTTACTTGACTGGAAAACTTCATTGCAAAATTCAGAGAATTCAGAGACTTTCAAAGGATGGCTGTGTTTCTGTTCATGCATTATTCTGGAAAGTGCAGATTTGGTAGATTCACCTTTAAACACAAACCGAATCAAATTTCTCCCTAATTCCTTGTTTACAGCAGCTTTACTTCTTTGGGGAAAGATACACAACGCCTTTCATTGTGCAAGCTAGATTTTCTGTTCACTCCTTTCTCTCTCTCTCTCTCTCTCTCTTCCTCCCTCCTTCCAACAAAAAGAAACCGAACTTTTGCAGCTTCCTTTTTTGGTACAAAATCTTCACATAAAATCTGTAAAGAGCAAGGCATACAGGGAATCACACCACTTTATTGTCCACACTAATGCATCTTCTTCCATTGTCAGAATAATGATGGCAAGAGAAAGATTTGGAGAAGTAATTGACTCACTTGTTTTCCCCTCTCCTTTCTATATCTAAGATATCAATGGAAAGTGCTCACTCTCAAAGAGTGCTAGAGAAAAGATTGACTTGTAAAAGCAACACAAAAGGCACCGGTTATGTTTGAAGGTGCCTTCGATAGCAGATTCACAAGTGAGTCATGTTTTGTCTTTTTGTGCTTCTCTAGGTAATATGGGGTGCTTTCAGACAGGGGGCTAGCAGAGCATGAAATATCACAAATGGAGCATTGGCATTTTTTTAACTTATTGGATTTCCGCTGGAAATCCAGACTGAATAGTGGTGGGCGCAAGGGGGAATACAGCCTAGCATTTGGCTAACAATGACCTTGTATGGATGTGGCAAAAAAACAAACTTGCATGGATGAGGAGCACCAGTCCCACAGTAAGTTCCTATCTGGAAGCAGCCATGGAAATGCTGAAAAATGAACACCAGATATGCATGCGGACTTCATACAGCTTGGCACAGGGGAATTGCAAATTCAGCTTGCACAAATACGGTTGCCTTTTGCAACAAACCCACTTTCCCAAAATACTTGACTTTTTACCATAAATAAAGTGTTGTAGTCACAAACCAGATACAGAGGGTGGATATTGTTGTTGCAAGTCTGTTAAAACTTAAAATGGCAGATACAGCTCTGATACGCATTTGAATTCCTTAGACAAGCTTCATTGTCTGTTGGAATCTTCAGACAACAGGAATAGAGTCAGATCAATTCTATGGGTCCCATTGGCTACATCAACCACTTTCAGTGCTTTCACTGGCATTGCACCATTGCAGTCCAATGCATGCCCTGCAGCAAATTCATGTCAAATCTGGCCCATTAAGGCTCCCAAACTTGACATGTGCTGGAGCGTTCAAGAGACTCCATAATCTTATGATACTATTCTATTTTTACATGGCTGGGTTCTATGCATTTCTTTCAAATGGTTGCATGGCTGTGTCTTCTATAAAAGTCCCACCACCTCCTGAGAACAAACCTCTCCCTTAGTGCAGTCATAAATACATCTCAGTACATTTGTGCTGCAGTTCCTTGTTACAGCTTGGCCTTTTTCTTATGCTAATGCAGGCCTACTATTACTTCAAAATGAGTAATGCTAATTTGGCACATTGTGTCCTCCCCTGGAAGTTAAAAAACCCCCACAAAAATAATAGAAACTAATGTTATGCTGACCTCAGCAGCTGAATACATTCATGCTAGCTCTTATACAGAGTTGTCCAAATAGCATTGGTTTCCCCTGCCCCAGCAAAAGGCATTTGAATACAGCATGAGCAGGTTTGCATTTTGGATATATGCCAGGAACAGGGGAGGTGGAATGAATCCAAAATGCTAACGCAGATCACAAGCAGCAGGATCCTATGGTGATGTATCAGCTCCTTTGGCAACCTGTGACAAGCAAGGAGGTCAGAGCAGTGTGACTCTTACTGCCTCAAAGCTCTCTCTCTCGCTTTATCATGTCTCCAGATTGCCAGGAAGAGTGGTAACTGACAAGAAAGGAAGAAACACAAATAGCTTGGTTACCAAGCTCCTTGACTGCTAGAATCCTAGAGTTGGGAGGGACTGTGAGGACCATCTACTCCAACCCCCTGCAATGCAGGAATATGCAGCTGTCCCTTCTGGGGACCAAACCTGCAGCCTTGGTGTTATCAGCACCACGCTCTAACCAACTGAGCTATCCAGACAAGAAAGGCTTCCCCAGCCAGCTTTCCTAGCCTCATTTATTAATGTATGTGTTAACTGTTCAAATAAGGGACGCGGGTGGCACTGTGGGTTAAACCACAGAGCCTAGGACTTGCCAATCAGAGGGTCGGCGGTTTGAATCCCTGTGATGGGGGGAGCTCCCATTGCTCGGTCCCTGCTTCTGCCAACCTAGCAGTACGAAAGCATGTCAAAGTGCAAGTAGATAAATAGGTACCGCTCTGGCGGGAAGGTAAACGGCATTTCCGTGTGCTGCTCTGGTTTCGCCAAAAGCGGCTTAGTCATGCTGGCCACATGACCAGCTGTCTGCGGACAAACGCCGGCTCCCTCGGCCTATAGAGCGAGATGAGCGCACAACCCCAGAGTTGGTCATGACTGGACCTAATGGTCAGGGGTCCCTTTACCTTTACCTAACTGTTCAAAAAACAAAACACACACCACCTGTACAGGTCACTCCCAGGTCAACCTGGACTAGGGACCTTCTGCATGCACCTGACTAGTCTAGATGGTTTTCATTATTATATATATTTCTTGAAGTTCTAACTGCAGTTCTGTAGGAAATCTTACTTTCATTTATGCATATCCAAGACAGAAACATACTGAATGCATGACACAAAAGGCCAGGTAAATTCTAGTTATTTTGCAGAGTTTATTTAAAAGCCTGCTTTGTTTATGCGGCAACAAAGAGTGGTGATTGAGTCAATAGTCAGGTTTTTTCTTCTCTTTAAGAAATGGCTTGTGCAATCCAGTGAAAATCAATCAGCTGTCAGAGTATTTATTCTAGAATTCCCAGATATCTATTGTAAAATTAATGCAGGTGCCTTGTTTGCAGAAGGCTTTGTACTGCAGTAGTTGCTGAACACTAGTGCCGCCTTCATCTAACAGAAATATTCTTGCCAACATTGATATTTGCTAATTTTTATGAAATTAGCTGGGTTATTTTTAAAAACATTCTACTAGTATTTCAGCAAGTGGAGTGTGTGTGTGTGCTGTGCCCTGTTATCCAGCGCTGTAATGACTGACTTTCTCTTCAATCCTTCGTGAATCTGCTAACAAAGCTATAAACATGCCAACTTATATATATTTTGCATCGCTAACCTTGACAAGGGCTTCATAACGCTGTGATGATGTATGTAAATATTTTTTAAAGAGACGGCTTCATCTTTTATTCCATTAATTCGCTTATCAAAGGGGAATGAGAAATGTAGGCTTATTTACACCAGCTCATAAAAGGATCCCCGTTCTTTACAGCCCTCCTTAGCAGAAATCTGCCAGATAGATTACAGTTAGCAACAGCCACTCTGAAATGTGTGCAGAATAAAAAAACAAAAACAAGATCAGAATGAGGGAGAGAAAATATGAGAAAGAGGGAAGAGGAGTCATACTATGCGAGGAGAGAGATGTGAGCTGCACTTCTCTCTTTGTACTTCTGGTATTATATGTGAAAGGGCACCAATGAAATATTTCTCTAGCAGGAACTACTGACCACTGCAGTGGTGTATTTGAAGAGGGATGGAATTTCTTATAATTGCTACAAGTATGTGGCATTACCTGATGCAGTCAACTCAAGGCTTCATAGAAATATAAAAAGCTGACACCAACAGGGGGCAGCACCTTAATACTATAACAGCCTCTCTGTCTGTAATGAAGAGTTCAATCAGGTATTCGTGTAGCTGCCTAGCACGGCTATGTAGTTAACTGGGTGTACAATACGAGGGCTACTATTGTACATATTAGTACTCTCCCTGCCCCTCCACAGGCACACACCCTATTGTTCAATCAGTGTTTCAAAAAGACTCGTGTTGGAGAGGATAATGCACACGTTTCTCTGCCAACCACACTTGTGAATAACAACACTTTGGGAAGGGATCAGCAGTTCACAGGCTTAGTTTTGAACCAGATGTCCATATTACTCATTCTGGAAAAAAACATTTGCCTAGGCTGGTTCAGACCCTTCAACTCCGGTGCTGGAAACTTCCCTTAAACTTGTGGTGCATCTGAAGTTTCATTTAGGGATGGAAATTGATTGTTTCTGGTGAATGTATTTGGAAAGATAATCCCCCTGATTTCAGGAGTTACTTATGAGAAATGCTTAATGGTCTAGCCACCTTGATTGCACTGAGATGTACTGCTGGGATTTCTGGACCACAAACGGTCATAGTAGGGTCAAAATGCATATAGTGCAAGAGATCTGGAATCCCCTCTCCCAATGCCTTGCTTAAGGCACAAAATCAGCTGTAGGGCAGTGAAAGAGAAGGTGTTTAACCCTTTACTTCTGCACCATTTCTCAGTTCAAAGTAGGCACTGTCCAAGACTCCAGTGGGGGGAGGGGAGGGGAGACAAGTACAGTGGTACCTCAGGTTAAGTACTTAATTCGTTCCGGAGGTCCGTACTTAACCTGAAACTGTTCTTAACCTGAAGCACCACTTTAGCTAATGGGGCCTCCCGCTGCTGCCGTGCTGCCGGAGCACGATTTCTGTTCTCATCCTGAAGCAAAGTTCTTAACCTGAAGCACTATTTCTGGGTTAGCGGAGTCTGTAACCTGAAGCGTATGTAACCTGAAGCTTATGTAACCTGAGGTATCACTGTACCAGCATTACACATTTTAATTCTCCCCAGCAGGGATAATAGCAGCCTTTAGATTTAGCCTGAGGAAATGGTTTAACCTCAGAAAGGATTGCAGACCCCCTTTCTCTAGCACTGCTTCCTCAGTCAGATTAGGAGCCCCCCCTCCCAATGTCCTAGTAGTAATATGAATCAAAGGAAATCTGGGAGATTTGGTTTCTGTTCTTCTGGTTCATGTGTAGGATGGAAAATGAGTAAATCAGGAGTGAAGTACTTTTGAGCAAACAAACAAAAATCTTGACTCATTGCATACCCAAAGTTCCAGCCTGGAGCAGCAATTATATCACAGTTATAAGTATGGATTTTACTGCCAACATGGAACAACAAAACCCTACCGCGGTAGATAAGAACAAAAACATGCTAAATGTTTGTAAGGTCAATGAAAGAAATGGTTTTAATTTTCACATGCTGTAAGGTCCAGTGTCCAATGTTGTTTTATGAAAAATTAGTTTCCAAAAAGGCTCCAAGCTCGGCAAAGTGATCTCTGGTGGGGGAAACAATATTTTAGTGTTTCTTAATGAGCTGAGAGACTATTAGAGGATTGCTAGCATTCCAGGTAGAACAAGAGCAATTAATTTAATGTTGAACGATATACAGATTTCTATAGTGCTACAAGAGCCGCTTCCTCTGGAGTGCTTCTGAGGCACAAAGCCCGACACAGTATTTGTGGCTTAATGAAGGTGATACTATCTGTGGAGAAAAAAACTTGTTGACTCTGTTTTTCCTTATGCAGCTACTTCCCCAGATCCCAAGCCAGCAGCTGAGGTGCTGAAATTTACTAGATCACAATGGGTACTGTGGAACTGTAGTATTTTTTAAAAAAATAACTTTTAAACTTCTTTTTTGCCTGCAATCTTCCACATTTTCCTACTTATTCTGATGATAAATTGCTCACTGGGTGACATGCCACAATAATTTTAACCTTTTGTTTACATGAGGTCTATGATGTCTATTCTAGAGTATCAGTGAGCAGACTGTGTCTCCAGTTTCCAAGATCAGCCAAAACCCACTCTCACACAGTCCCTTGGCCTAATGTTTTCCAGCCTAGTATGAAATAGCATCCATCCAAGTGTGGTGGGAAAGGCCCACCCATTTGTCTCCATGGCTGCCTTTTTGGACTTAACTGGCCAACCAAAGCCATTATTACGTCAACGAAAAGCATAATTGGACTGGTTTCCTCTTACAGATTCTAGCCTCACATATACAGGATCACAGCTCTGGAACAAACCCATGGCCATCATCCAGACTGACCTCCCCAAACCCACAACACTATTTTATAATTTTACTGTAAGCCACTGTAAGAAGAACTCTGCTTTGTTGGATCAGGCCAAAGGTCCAGCTAAACGAGCACTGAAGCAGATGCCTTTGGGAACTCCAAAAGTAGGACCTTTGTGGGGTCAGCAACAGCACTTGGGGCACTCTGGGGCAGACTGCCTCTAACTGTGGAAATAGTATGTAGCTATCATGACTAGTAGCCAGTTGTGCTTTTATCTTGTATTTTTATCTTGTGAACAGTTCTGAGATCTTTGGATGAAGGGAGGTATATTAATTTAATTAATATTAACAATCATAATTATTTATAACCTTATCCTCCACAAATTTGTCTAAATCCCATATATGTAAAGCCAATCAAATTGGTGACCATAAACTACCTCTTGTGACAATGTACTCCATAGTTCAGCTAATAAACACCTTACGGCCTTATGGTGGCCAAACTGGACTGTGGGGGGCGGGAGAGAAAGAGAAGAGAAAAGAAACAAAGCTATTTTAATCTCAGAATGCATGGCTCCTCAACCTGTTTTGTAATTCTAATTAAGGAAACAAATGACTTGTTAACGTGCCAACAACCTCAACAGGTAGAGGGGCCTGGAGAATCTGCATACTGCTCTCCTACCCTGCAATCCCCCAATTGAGAAGCCTCTCCCATGCATTGATCTGTCTTTGGCCTGGTTTGCGCATCACAGGAAGCCTGAGTATCACCCACCATGACTGTGCAAAAATGCTGACTCATGGAAGGAAGATCGCAACCACTTTGCTCCTCTCTGGGCTTTCTAAGGCAGCACGACACACCAACTAAGACCAGTTTTTTTTTTACTTCGTGCGTTATTCAAATCTAGGGCCAGGCTTAAGTTTTCCACACTACTACAGGCAACAGGTGAACAACCACACTTTTCTCTCCTATGTATATAGAAGCATATAACTGGCTGGTCTACAACCTTTCTTCCTCACATGCTAATTTTGATGTGCAGGGTTTTTCTTTTTCTACAGGGCAAAGTTTGTGGTATGTCCTTCCTGCATCCTGAAGTGGTGCAGTCCACTCTTCCAGCTCCTCATTCTACTGCAAGTGTAGACCACATATTGGAGTTCTGCAACTGGCAGAGGCAAGGGGGCTCAGATTCTTTCATTAGGAGAGCAACAAAGCTGCTAAGTGGACCTCTTAGAACTTAGCATTGTGTCCTTGATCAGATGTACGTGAAAGAAGAGAGATCTTCATAGCCCTAGTCTCCACTGACTTCTGTCCTTATTATCAATCAGCTCCACAGCACTTTTGTTGTGAAAAGCAGCACTTCATCATTCATATAGCATTAATTCTTGTGCGGGGGGGACGACCCTCCTTCTATGATTATGGGTTGCTTTTGCAGATTTGGAGCAGTTACAGCCTCTTGTCTGGGCCATGATAGAACCAGTTTCATTTCTAGTGTCCTTGTTAAGGCCTCTGTAATCTACAGAAGAATGACAAGAATGACTTGAGTGAAGCCTCTGAGACAGGAAAATATCTGTTAAGCGGAGAACGTTTATCTACTTTGCCTTTTCTCCCCTACTTGTAGAATTGTGGAAGATCTCACTGCATAGCAAAGCTGACTAGAAAAGACACAGGGGAAAGGAAAGTTCATCTGAATTTATCAGTGACCGGGTTTCACACCTGCCTGATATAATCTTTCCTCAGGGATGCCTTGCCAAGGCTGATCTCACGCATTTCAGCTAGAGCTGCTCAGAATGGTGCGCTAACATTCGTTCTGTGTGTGCTACCAGTACTCCTTCTCTGAAGCAAGTAAACACCGATTATCCTTTTTGAAGTGGTGGTGGGGGTATCTATTATATAAGTTTAATGCAGCATCTCTTTCCCAGAATACATCTTGGTATAGAAGAAAGCATTTTCCTTTAACATATAGAACTGCGCTCTCTCTTTCTCTCTCTCTCTGTAAATCTGCTCAGTGGACTATATTGAAAATGTGATAGGCAGGAAAATAAACTAAAAGCTAGAGGCAGCACTGAGTGGCCATTTAAGCAATATGAAAGATTAAAAGTACCTATGAGAAAAGAAAACTTCAGCATAACTAAAGTAAATGGAGTCAGTGCCAGTTTGCTTCACTGCAGCCTGTCTCTTGAGCTTTGTCTACCACCAGAATTTCCTAGCTAAGGAAACTGGCTATACAGTTCCACCCTACAAATAAAGAGGAGCTGGAGGGGGAAGGGGTGTTGAGAGCTCAGAAAGAAGCACATCTGGAAGACCACAATTTGAGTAAAAGTAGAATGCATAAGTTAAAAGAGTCTCCCACACTTTCATCTGCCGCCCATGCATTCTCCACTTTTTCTCAAATTTGGCAGTCTCAATCTGAATCAGGTTTGAGGGGAGCTTGCCCATCTCTATTTCAAATTGCTCCGGATAATTTATTAATGATTTCAGTAGCACAAGTCCCAAAGCCGATCCTTGCAGGGCACTTATTCCTCCCTCCCTCCAATGTGAAAACTCTTCTTTTATTTCTACTTCAATTTCCTGTTCTTTAACCAGTTACTGATCCATAAAAGGCCTGTCCTCTTCTACCATCATGACTCAGGACTCTTTAGCGAGGAACACTGTTGAAAGCTTTTTGGAAGCCGAAGCCCAACAAGTCTACCAGATCAGCCCAGTCTTCTAAAAGCCAAGCTGCTTCTTTCTTAGCAAGGCTTGTTCTTCCACCCTTCAGTTGTTGGCATCCATCTGCCTTTTGAAACAATGGAGGAATGGACCTTTGGGGGTGAAGTTAAACTGTTGGAAGGTTGCAGTGCCTGCTGTTGCTGCATCTGAAATAATTTCAGATTTAATCATGTTTCCACTAGTTTAATGGAACAGATGCTAGATAGTCTGTTATTTCCTTCATTCCTCCCTCATCTCTTTCTTAATTATCTTATACTGAGTACCTACCGGTTCTCCAGTAGAGAGTCTGATTTTAGTGACAAGCTTCATATTTTTGTTAGACGATCAACAATATCACACTTACGTTCTTTAGGCACTCTTAGACATCAAATATTGCAGTCTTTTTAAAACATGAAGCTGCTAAGTTCTTGTCACATTGCTCTGTGTCAGTTGTCTTTCTGATTAATTAGCTTAATTATCCACACTAAGTGGCTTTGCTTCCGCAGGATCAGATAGGAACAGTGTACATGATCAGTTACATATGGCCTCTGGAGTGGGATCAGCAACCTTAGCGGACACTGCTCTGAAATGTGTTGATATTTCAGAACTAATCTGTTAGGGTTTTAAAGATGATTAATTAAACCGTACATATAATGCCGATATTTTGATAACTTCTGTCATTGTTTTAAATCCAATCACTTGAATTGCTGATCTCACAAACAGCTCTACAGGCGTGAAATCCAACAATTTCTTAAGGTCCAAAGCTTTTCTTTAGGTTTCCAGACTACTTAGGCTGTATCCCTAAACTCACCTAGGGAAAAGGACAACTGAATTTAAACAGGGCTTCTGAGTAGACGGGGTTGGGATTGAGGTGTAATGCACTGCAACAGACACAGTGCCTATATGTGATGGAGCCTGCAATATTATGCTCATTTTGTTGTATGTAAGTTCATTGAACGCAGTGGGTAAGGCTGCAGCAATATCTATGAAGGAAGTTTCTTCCTGTGAATTCTTTCCTACAACAGATTGACTGGTCTTATATAGGCAGTATCACTCATATGTGAGAAGGACCCTTCACATTGAAGTATGCAGATTCTTTCTTTCACAGTTTTTCTGTCTGTCTCATTTACCCCATGACACTTTGGCTGAGGAATTCCAATAGATGATGTGATTCCTGAGATATAGATGAACTTCACATTCCAGTCCTAACAAGACCTAAGCTCAGAAGCTGTCGGTTTGCCCAGTCCTTTAATCTTCCTTTCACATCCTAGAGCTGTCCCAGAACATTTCAGCACAAAGTAAGTTGATCCGAAACCCAGAACATTATGTCCCCCCCCTCTAAACTCAAGCTAGGGGTGGGGAACTTGGCCCACCAGGGATTTTAATTTGGCCCATGAGGCTGTTTTCCTCAACCAGGCACACCTGCTCATATGTGATGTCACGTGTGGGACAGGTAAACTGTTCACTGGCAAGGGAAAGTCTTCTTTGGTTCTACCACCCTTCAGCTGCAGAAGCATCTAAATGTTGTGGATTCTTCCAGAAATCATTGTGAACAGAACCCATTTACCTGTCAGGAATTTACCAGCCAGTTAGACTCATCACTAGTTTATACTAATTCTAAAGGTAAAGGTAAAGGTAAAGGTACCCCTGACCGTTAGGTCCAGTGGCGGATGACTCTGGGGTTGCACGCTCATTTCGTTCTATAAGCCGAGGGAGCCAGCGTTTGTCCACAGACAGCTTCTGGGTCATGTGGCCAGCATGACTAAGCCACATCTGGCAAACCAGAGCAGCGCACGGAAACGCCGTTTACCTTCCCACCAGAGCAGTACCTATTTATCTATTTGCACTTTGACGTGCTTTCGAACTGCTAAGTGGGCAGGAGCTGGGACTGAAAAAATGGGAGCTCACCCCGTCACAGGGATTCAAATCACCAGCCTTCTGATCAGCAAGCCCTAGGCTCTGGTTTAGACCACAGTGCCACCCACGTCACTATACTAAACCTAGACCAGGCAAATATGTCCTGCACTGGCTTTGCTTTTGGCTGTTTTGGAAGCTGTTATGAACACAGAGCATAGGATGTTGCTTCATACTCAAGTCAGATCACTGGTCCGACAAGCTCAGTATTGTCTACACTGACTAGTGACAGATTTTAACAGGGATCTATTCCCAGCCCTACCTGAAGACACCGGGGATTGAACCTGGGACCGTCTGCTTGCAAGGCAGATGCTTTGCCACTGAGCTACAGCTCTTCTCCAGCTATGGCCCTTTCGAACATATTATGTCTCCCCCACAAACTTCCAACAAGGAGTGGGGAGCACTTCCAGGCAGGTGACTTTAGGTTCCACTGGCCTCATCGCAAGACAGTTTTAAAAAATGGATTTAACATACAAAAGCACAGTCTTAAGTGGCTGTGCTACATTCCCGATTCACTCTCGCAGTTAATTATTTACATCTTTTGAGGCTGCTCTGCTATTCCAGGGGCCAGAAGTTGTGGCACAGAGGAGGAGGTGGGAACCATTAGCTGCATGGTGTATGCAGCCTTGTGTTGCAAAGAGACTGGCCAAAACGTTTAATTGATTTTCTCTCTGCATGCTTGGGTTCAGAAAACCTGATAAATGACAAATACAAATGTTTATCACAATGTGCCAGGTATTCACAAAGTAAATTCAGACCCCCCTAAAGAAGGGAAAAATATTTCTCACAGCCAAGTAGCCATTCATAAAATGTAACTTTGCTGAAACAAGGAAGACTCTTGTGGCACCTCAAAGCCTAACACAATTATTATAGGAGTAGCTTTTATGTATCTGATGAAGTGAGTTCTAATCCACGCAAGTTTATGCCGTAATAAATGTGTCAGCCTTTAAAGTGCCAGAAGACACATTTGTTTTTGTTGCAAGGGACCAACACAGCAGCTTCTCTCGAATTTTGTTTTGCTCATTTCCATGTGAATTTCCAGTCAAAGCCATTTATTAACCAGCTGGTGGCAGTGTTTTCTTTAGGAAAAGTTTTTTTTATATAGAATATTGCCTTCATTCCTCTCATAACAGCTTCTGAACATTTTAAAGTGAAAGGATCTCTCCGTTCTTTTATTCCTCCTCCCTAAAATTCCAGGCAAATTCCTACAAGGAGCAAAAGCTTCTCTCCCTCCCGCCCCCATTTGTAAGACTGCCACTGTTTTGAAGAGTTATATAATACCGGGAAAGAGAACGGAGAAAAGAGGCTATTTCTTCCAAGCTGGGGTGTCCTTGTTTTCCGTTGTTTGTTCTGACAGGATGCTGCCTGATTGGAAGGATTCTTAGTCTGCCTGTGTAAGCTAATTTAGATTTGGAAGAGAGACGTTAAAAGCAATATAAAAGCATGACAGATTTAATACGGTTTTCCAGCCACTACTGTGCACTGAGTTTTAAGGGGGGTTTGCTGTTTTGGGGGGTAGGAAGCACTGGAACACTTACTTCTCATTCCCACACATTCACAATGGTTTCCATTACCTACCTAACTCACATAATGAGGATAAAATGAAAGGCAACGGCAGAGAGAGAGAAAGGGGAGGGGAGGGGATGCTTTATTTATGGTATCGAATAAGGAAGAATGACAGTTCTAGGCATTCATCACAAATTATTAAAAGAGCCAATCCAAAATACATTAATAAAACTGTCTCACAATGTAATCCTCACTCATTCCTGAACAACAACACATGAACCTCCTGCTAGGCTGCAGAAGAAAGAACCCTGAAAAACATTTTGATCTCTTTATTGGAGACCATCCTACACTTGCTACGAAGCAACAAACGCATAGCCATACCATCTGCATCCTCTTCTTCTGGGAATCTTTTGCTTAGATGTAGGATTCTGCTTTGATGCCCATTATTGCCGACTATACTTGCCCTGGCTCATCATCACAGAAATGTCACCACAGCTGAAGAGGACAATGAAGTGCTTGGACTACATTAGCCTAGTCCTGCTTGAAATGCCCAGATGGGTTCCTCTAACAAAAATGTTCTATAGCAGCCTTATCCAACCAGACTACAACTCCCACCATCCCTGACCACTGGGGTTGATAGGTCACAATCCAAAATATCTGGAGAGCACCAGGTTGGGAAACACTGATTTATCGGTTCCCTTCTTTCCCCAGCAAGGACTAATAATTTGTCTAGGTCTTGGCTTCACCTCTTTTCAACCAGTGTCAGATACCATGCTGCAAAAGCACCTGTGAGTTTGGGCACAATTTATGGAACTTACCTGGTAATTGCTTGCTTGCAACACCTTTCTTTCTACCTTCCCTTCTGTCTTGTTGCTGCTTTGATTGTAAGCCTTCAGGAAAGGTCTTTTCTATTCTCTCTCACGCATGAAGTAAATTAGTAGTACCTTTTGTACAGTCACTGATATTATACAGACATCAGTGCTACTCATACACATTCATCTCCGCTGTTTGAAAATGAACCATATATTGGATAAAAGGAATCTTCAACCCCACCTAAGAGCAGAAAACTCAGGTCCATGTCCTTCAGATGTGGGGTGTGGACAGGGTCAGCCCAAGACATTTTGCTGCCTGAAGCAAAGGGCAAATGGTACCTTTCCATTTCATGCACAGAAACCATGCACAGGTTGACAGTTAAATGTTACTTCAACACTGATGAAGGAACAGTGGGGAGAGAAACACAGCTGAGTCCTAGCCCTTATCACTGCTCCCTGCCTCACAGCAACTACCTAATGGCAGGGCTGGCCTTTAGCCAGGACACTATTAACAACTATGTCACCTGGTTCACATTCCGCATCTTGTTTGTGCAAAACTACTCCACCTGAGCTACATTGAGGACAAATAGCCTTTTTTGTCCATAGATGTGTGAACTGGTCGTCTCCACTTCAGTGCTATATTAATGACATCTCTCCAAAACCATTTGATTCTTCAGTCCACTGATGAGCAGTACAGAAGCCTGATGAGAAACCGATCTGATTTTCTGTCTTTCTGTGCAGAAGATGCACCACAAGATTTGGTGATAGCCATTAACTTTGATGCCTTCAATGAGAAGAAGAGACACATTTATGCAACATAAATCTGTCAACAGCTATTAGCCACCAGTGCAGTTTCCATGTTTAGGGAACATAAGACCAGGTCAAGCTACTTACCCATGTAGACCAGCACTGCCAGTCCTGACTGGCAGCAGCTGTCTGGCGTCACCAGCAAAAGTTTGTCCCATGCTTTTTTAATTGATAGTTTTAAAACTGTAGAGACCGAGGACTGAACCTGGAACCTTCTACATGCAAAGCATGTGCACTATCTTTGGCCCCTCCCTTATGTGGCAGTGTACCAGTCGTTGGGGCCAAACACAGTAAAGTTCTTGCCTTCATGCCCTGCTTGTAAGTTTACTAGAAGGATCTGACTGGTCACCACTGAAAACAATACTAGACCAGATGCCAGGGCCGGCCCACCCATGAGACAAGATGAGGAGACAGCTTCAGGCGACAGGCTCCACAGGGACAGCAGATCCCAATGTCAATCTTTCTTCCTCCCTCGTTCATGACGTAGATCTTCACTCACCCCTTCTTCCATGGTAGGGAGTGAGAGTGCCGTTGTTTGAATTGCTTCAGGTGCCAAAATGTCTTGGGCCAGCCCTGCTAGATGGACATTAGATCTGATCTAAATTGGCAGGGATATTTACATGCTCTTTAAGAAGTCATTCTCAGTATCTGCTTTCTTATTTTATTTATTTATTGTTACATTTAGATTCCACCTTATTCTCTAGGGAGTTCAAGGAGCTCTACATGGATCTCCCTCTCCCACTTAATTCTCAAAACAACCCAGTGAGGTAGGCTAAGCTAAGAGACAGTGAGTGGCCCGTGGTCAGCCAGTGAGATTCACAAATGAGCAAGGATTTGAACCCTAGTTTCCAAGGTCCTAATCCAACACTCTAACCACTACACCACACTGGTTCAAGTTACTGATCTCTTCAGAGCATCCTATTTTCCTCATGGTATTCTTGTACTCTGCCCTGTCACTCTCTTTTTAGAGTATGACGGACAACCCTCTTGTTCACTTCTATTCGCATGCTTTGTTTTCTCTGCACATGTAAATTGGAAGCTTTGTCTTTCACGGTGGTGCAACTCCCACTACAATTTATTGTTGTCCTCTGTCAGATTATTAGACACCCTGAAGAAAATTATTGCTCGGTACAAAATCAGTGCATTTTCTGGGCATGTTTTGCAACAGTTTCTGAACATGATAATTATGCATTCAGAACCCCCCTATCACTCGCTTCATGGACTCAGCGTGTTCAGTTTCTGCTGCTTGGAAAGATCTGGATACAATCCTGCCAACTTGTTCCTGCTGGACCTTTCTCTGACTCAGCCCAGGGAAAACCTAGTTACTGAGTAGACACCATAATTACGAAGAGATTCTTTCCTTCCCTTCAAGTTCCACTTACTGAAGAATACTTACTTGGAGGTCAGAAACAGGTTAATAATTCTGGCTTGCTGCTGACCTCCTTCTTCCTGTGGAAATGCATCCACTGGATTCAAGAGTATTTCATCCGGCAATGACCTTGAAACAGCAGCACATGCAATTATCATGCCATGAAGCTTGATTACTGTAATTCCCCTTTAGCACTGCCTTTTCGTCTAATGCAGTTTGTTCAAACTGCTGCAGTAGTATCAGCTGCTGCTACCGCCACAAAATTTTGTGTTCAGGCTTAAGCTGACACTATCATCTTGATCCTGCTCAGCAGGATGCCCATATCATAAAACCCCAGGTCTTGTTGTGTGAGGAAGCCATGAATAGTGAGGGGAGGGATATGAGAAAAAAATTGACTGGGCAATGTGGGAATGTCCTGAATGAGCAGAGCCCCACATTATCAGTCTGTTGAATGGCTATTGGTGCTGTTTATTCCACTCCATGTTTTATCCTTCTACACTAGTTTCCAAAGCCTCATTTGACTGTGTTGAAATGATTACAATTAGGACCAGCAATAAAATGTCACAGTGTGGATTGCTTCAGCCAAAGTGCCATTTCCAGGAAAAACTTTCCTGCAAATGGAAAACTCTCTTCCATTCGCCCTCCTGAATTCTGCTATTTCTACCTAGTTCTCAGTAGGCTGTTTTAGGGACCCTTGTTTCTTAGTGTCCCCCCTAAATATTTTTTGCACCTCTACAAATCTAGGAGTTCATACCAGCTTTCTTATGCATGGATGCTTAAAAAATCAACGTTTGGAGAACAAATGTAGGTTTTTAGAATGCAGTCTTATTTTTGATTACTGTACTTCCAAACAGAAATGAATAATCCAAGGGCTAAGACAGTTGGGACACACGGTTCGAGTAAATCAATGTAATGTTATTTGAAAGATGTTATGCAGGTATATATCCTACAAATGTTTCCTAGACCATTTTTTCCTGAAGAACACAAAGGGTTATTTAAAGATTCCGACATAAAATGTGGTGAATTAATACAGTGTGGATCTTTTGTTCCATTGCAGAATATTAAACTAGACTTGTCTCTAAAGGTGAGCAGCCTGTGTTTAGCTGTGTGATGATTTTTCCAAAAACCTAAACTTAAAGAAGAAAAAGAAAAAAAGAATCTAGGGAGAGAGGGGGGGAAATGAATTCCAAAACAGAAAGCAGAAAGCTGCCCTGAAATATCTGCAGGTAAAAAAAAAAAGTGTTCCTGAGTCAGAGACTGTCTCATAGCTATAAAAGACATAAACCATCTATAATCCCATTCCAACATTCAAAGGAGTAATATTCATATATCAAGGTGCTGAGGTGCTTTTAGCATTCTACTTTTTTTTTTCTTTTTAAGGAAGGCATTCATCTTTATGACAAAAATAATTGTGCAATACTAAACCGCAGTGACTTCAGCCTTCCTCAGAAAAAAATGCACAAAAATTTAAAGAACTATGGCCTTATTCCAGAAAATTAAGGAAGTGCAAAAAATTATATATCTTTAGGTCAGCATGTGAGGAACAGAAACCATGCACTACTAACCAGCCTCTCTCATGTCTGAAGCTTTCACACATCCTCTGTATCCCACCCCCACCCCCCGGGTATGAACATCTTCATAAATAGTGGCACAGCCTAAACTACCTCCCTACACTGAGCAGAGGCATTGTACGAAACCATGGTGATCAGCAGCTCAATTGTGTCTAGATTGGCATAACAAAGATTGTCTAGGCGGTGGCTAGGCTGGCATAACTCGCAGTGAGATTCTGGTCTTCTGTGCCAGACTCTCATGCTATACAGAGTGATGGGTGGGGGACAATTTGAAACAGATTAACAAACTGAAGTTGAGTCCCAAGGTAGATGCCAATAAACATCTGCAGAGACAGATGGTTCGAAGGAAACAAGTGAAAATACATGCTAAGTACTGAACAGTTGGGCCAGAAACTGCCACACTTGGCGAGGCTGAATAGTACCTTTAAAATATTCTCACTGGTGTCTTTGGGACAGATTAATAGCGTTGCAGCAAACGCAGAGGAACTATAATTCTGCAGTCCAAGAGGTGTGGTTTATTTGAACATCTCTCTACATACTAAAGTTCATTCACTTCCTAGGTCAGTATATCAGTGAAATTAATAGTTCCTCCGCAGTATCTTATCATGTCAAGTGAGGCAGCTCAGCCCATCATAAAAGTCAACAAATGCAGCAGACTTTCCATATCTTTGAATGCAGAAGCGTGCTCTTTTCTGAAATTGTTCTCGCAACGGAGGCAAGGATGAAAACCAAGGGATATTGTAGGCAATAATGTTCAAGTAAGGCGGGGGCGGGGTGGGGGGAAGAACCTTCTGAATTCCTCCTCCCGTATGGAGTTTAATCCCATAAGACCATTGTCCATTGATCGGTACTGTGCGCCGGAAAGCAATACAGTATTTGAAGGCTGCTCTCTGAGGAAAAGAGATAGCAACCTGCACTGTGTTATACACTTGATTTCATTCTGACATCCTAGTGAAGATAAATGTAGTTCATTTCCCAAGTAAAGTATATAAATAACACCTTAATTACTGATCATAGGGAGTGATTTGCAGGGGCTGGAATGCCCAAACATCTCAACTGCTACAATACATTGTAAGGGAAGAGAAGGGAGCAATCTATTCTTAAGTGAAGCTGAGCCATACTCAACCTGCAGTAAGCCTCCGCTTTCCATGCCCCTCTCTGCTTGGCTTTGAATAATGCATTGTACGATGATCTGACAATAGTGCATCACTCAGCATCCTAATGCAATAGCAGCTATTTTGCAGCACTTGTGGTTGGTGTTTGGGCTTTTTAAAAGGAAACTTGAAAGAAAATACAAACACATACTGTATGAGATACATGAGAAAACACACACACACAGTAATAAATCATTGAAAGGATGAGTTCGGTTCATGTTTGTATTTAAGGAAGTAGCTGAATCATATATTACAAGGCATAGGCATTCTGGCATCAGAGTGGGTATGAATAAACCATACAATCAAAAGTAAAGATTCTCTAATTATTATTTTTTAAACCCACAACCTCCATCTTATACTGTACCAAATAAAGGAAGTCACAAACCACCTTCCCAATTCCTTCAAACTCAGTATCTTCCATGGTACACACACACACACAAACACACACACACACACACACACACACACACCCCTTTCATGTTTCAGACAACATCTTTTGTTTTCCAGGAACACCTGTATTTATCATTCAGTTAACACCAACAAAAACCCTTTCAGTTTAACATGTTATGTTAACAGCTTTCCATGTTCATTCAAGCTCCAAAATGACAGGAAATTACAGTACTTAAAGACCATGCACTTAAAAGACAAGTTGTTTAGGCCATGTGGATATAGTACGGTACCCTATCCTGTGATCAGTTTCAGCTTCCCCACTACTTTAGAGCAGGATAGTTGTTAGTGGCAAAAGTGACGGACCAAAGTCCCCGATTTCTCTGTTTGCTGGAAGAGACTTATAGAGTACAAGCAACTGTCTGAAACTATCTTACAACTGCAGAACCTCATTCCATTACAAGTACCCAACTGGCAACCAATACCACCCACTAAGCCACAGCATTTTATTCTAGAATCAATGCAAGCTGAGTACTTGTATTTCTACATAGTCTGCCCCAAAGCTAGATCTATTGCACATTCCTTGCCCCTGAAAAGTGCTTATTGACAAACTGGTTGCGTTTCAAAAACCAAAGCGCATTCCACAGAGTGATTCCACTTTAACCCTCAGTGTGTCCATTGGAAAACAGATGTAGGATGTTCCAGCAATGCAGGGAGCAATCCATACATGCCCATACATTGTGGATGAATGTATACCAAGATTACAATCGCCATTTCCTTCCTCATTCCCCTGCAGGGAGGAAAAAGCATGGATCAAGTGACCAGAGCCACCCTTGTGGATGGCAGGATATAGGACTCAATTTAGATTGAAAGCAGCATGTTGAGGGCAAGCATGAATGATTCTGGTCTGCACTTTAGTACAAATGATTTAGTAGGTACACAACTATATAATGGTAGTTTGGGGCCAATAATGGCAGGAGGCAATTCAGCCAACTCACCCTTAGCATGGAATCACAAATTACTGTAGGCTATAAAAGCTAAGCACAATAAATGCTTGTCAAATCCACTGATGCTTTGTTTGGAGGTGGGGAGGGAAATTAATATTGAGTATACAGTAGTTTAGAACTGACTTTCTAACCTTCCTGTTAATTTTACCTCAATTACTTTAATGGGGCGTGGGGGTAGGTGCTGGTCTCCAGTACTAATGCCTGAACTTGTTACTATCCCCTGACTGTTAGCCTCCACCTGTTCCATATCCCTCATAACTACACACTGGGCACCATGCTGCAGCGGGCGCCACAACAATACTGTAGAATGGAGCATGAGAGGCGCCAAGTGCAAATTTTAGTGTCGCTCAGGGCGCTAATGGAATTTGAGAGCCCAAAGCCATCCTCTGACGGTTTTGCACCAAAGCAAAGTTGCTGCTTTACCATAGCTAAACATTTATATCCTTTGCATGCAAAAGCTCTCAGTTTCAGTTTCCAGCACTTCCAGTAAGAGTTGGGAAATTCTTTTAATAAAAAAGCAAAATATGTGAAAGCAAAAAAGAACAGAAAAGAAAGAAAGAAAGAAAGAAAGAAAGAAAGAAAGAAAGAAAGAAAGAGGCAAGGGGGAAAGGCCATGTAGCCAGCAAAGAAAGAAATCAAACACTGTCTTCCCAGTCCCCCCTCTCTTTCTGACTGTTCTTTTGTTTCATTGCATAGTCGACTCTCTGCCAATTCCTGTCTAATTATGTGACTGACTTAACGCTCTTATTGACATGCTGTGTCTAGCACAACACAAATGTTGCCATATTTTTGAGCATGAAAATGAACCTAAAACTGTGAAACATAAAGTGGCAGGTCACAGGATACACTTTTTGGGCATCGTTGAACAATAGTTAAAATATGCTTGTGAATGCAGTGCTTTCATCGCCCAAGAAGCTAACAAGATTCATTTTGCCAGGAGAGTGGAATAGCTTGTACAGCAAGCTAAAACGAACAAACAAAGCAAAGGAGGCCAAAAGGAAAAGCCTGTTAAAACACTTCACTTGTCATAACACTGGAGAGCTGCTTATTAAGGCAGATAGAACAGAGGAGGACCTCTCAGTCCAATTGGCTGTAATGGTGACAAGAGGAAATAATACTTTGTGGTCAAAGAGGTATAAAGGACCAGCAATATTGTTAAATCTAAAAATGTTGCACAACACTTTATTGAATGTATAGTCTGCTGTTGGGGATCCTGAGTTTGCTTGACAAGGCTACTGCCATTTTATAAAAGGCACAATTGGCCAATGCCTTTATGAGGAGGACCAATCAACATTTTATAAAATCATGGCATGCTTGCAGGTTCTCCAGAAGTCTTCATTGGGCAAGATATTACACAAAGTTGGGTGAATGAGGAACACACACTTTCTCTTCCTCTGTTTCTTTCTTTACTGTAAAGGTAAAGGGACCCCTGACCATTAGGTCCAGTCGTGGCGGACTCTGGGGTTGCAGCGCTCATCTTGCTTTATTTGCTGAGGGAGCCAGCGTACAGCTTCCAGGTCATGTGGCCAGCATGACTAAGCCGCTTCTGGTGAACCAGAGCAGTGCACGGAAACACCGTTTACCTTCCCGCTGGAGCAGCACCTATTTATCTACTTGCACTTTGACGTGCTTTCGAACTGCTAGGTTGGCAGGAGCAGGGACCAAGCAACTGTACAAAGTACAAAAGTATAAAGCATAAAACAAAGGACTGTAGATGTCGTAACCATAGGGTCAGCTTGTAGACTCTATTCCCAGATGGACTTTGCAGGTAGAAGCCTGTACTAGGTGTTAAAGGTTACATACCTTGTGTTGTAAGCAAGACCTGTACCATGTCTTATATAAAACTCACCCATTCCAGTTTAGACAGAAAGTAAAAAAGAAACATGGCAGGTCTGGGTTACAAACCAGGTTTATGCCCCCAAAATACGGCAGCTATTGTTTCTTTACACCAGACATCTGTAACACCTAAAAGACTAAAGACTTATCCACACTTGCCTTTCCAGGTTCAGTCCACACTTTAAAGCTCCAGGTCTGAGTGCCCCCCCTTTTCTTGCTTTGGACCTTTCCCCACGAAAGCCAACTCTTTAAAACTTAATCTGCAACAAACCTGAATTGGCGTTTGCTCTGACAGAGAGCTAAAGAGTGTGGGTTTGTTTTTTTGCAGGGATAAAGTTCTGAGGCCCCAAAAACACACACAAACACTTGGACATGGAGCTTTTGAGAATGGACCTGTGTCTAGAAAGAGCAGGGCAAAAGGTTTATTTAGTCTGCACTCTCCATTGCAAAACATCCACATTTCTGCTTGCCCTGTGCTTTCTAGGCCACAGGTCTGAGTTGCTTTTTGTTTGCCTCACTTTCCTGGGGAAAACCCACTGTTTACCACTGAATCAATGCTCAGAAAACCCAACTGACATTTGTTCTGATTCAGCAATAATCATCAGGTTTCCCTGGAGGAAAGCTGTGGAATAAGCAGAAGTGTGGATGAGCCCCAAGTCTACAAGCTGACTTTCTGACTAATTTCTCCTACTCGTCCACTTGCCTGATGCCTGTTATAGAGTTCTGCAGAACTCAATCCATTTGTGACATTTTGGCCAGTCCTAATAAACATATTGCCTGACTGTCTATTGGAGGCCCCCCCCCCTTTATGGACCAACATTGCCTTTGCTTTCTATGTGCCATTTTGCATGGTCCAGACTGCATTCTGAAGGAGTGTACAGTGTTTGAAGCTTGTCTGTACACGTATGACTGCACCCAATATCCTCAAAGCAGACCCACTGGGACCAATGCACTTGTCAAACAAATCCATTGTTTCAGGGGTCTATGCTGACAGAGCAGAACCCCACAGCCAGAGAACAGAGGAGGCCACCGTGGCTAGAGCCACACATTATTACTTCTTTTGCTGCTGTCATCTTTTGTGTCATTTTGTACTGCAGGCTTCAGTCTTCTGGGTTCCACATGCCAGTAGTGGGCAGGGGCAGGGGCAAAAGTAGGTGGAGCAATTGATGTTAATATTATCATTGTACAGTTGGCTAGTTTCTACAATGCAGGGCTGGTGAGGGTGCTCCACTGGGTTTTCCATCATCTGAACATCTTGTGGCAAGCCAGGGGAAGAACCTTCGCTGCTGTGGCACCCAGCTTTTGGAACCAACGTCACCCTGAAGTACAACAGACACCAATCTTAGTTGTGTTCTAGGTTGAAAGCCTATTTATTCTGCCAAGCACCTGCTGGTTTTTTAATACATAGCTTTAAGTGGTTTATTTTAATTGATATGTTTTCTGCTGTGGATTGTTGTATTTATTATTTTAGTTTATTGTTGTGTTAATGCCTCTTGTAGACTACCCTGGAATTATACAATGAAGGGTGGTGTATAATTTTTAAAAATAAATGTATGTTCCCTACACAGATCTTGATGTTTTGCAGCTGAGATTCCTGCCGTACATTGCATTAACAGTGAAGAAGATAGGGCATTAAATCTAGTGAGTGAAAAAGCTAACCTAAGTAAAGATTAGGGCATGTATAGAGAGGAACTCATGTGTGGTGTGTGTGTGTGTGTGTGTGTGTGTGTTGGCCAGTACCTTTGTCCTCAACCTTTTTTGCACGAACTATTTCTTTTCCAAGGGTGAGCAAGAAAAAAGATTACTTTCGACCTGCAGTCTAAACTAGTACTGCCCACTCTTATCACCTCATTCTGTTGCATGTGTAGACAAGGCTTCATGCACAGATAAGGCATTGATGTCTACAAGTCAGCCCCACTGACTTCTGCAACAGACTTAATTCCCAGATCATATCCATAGGATCAGGTTGCATGTGACGTGGAAACCAATTCTGGGGATTAAATGGGATTTACTTCTAGTAACTGTCCTTAGAACTGAGGTTCTAGCAGTTTATCCATCATCTAATTCCCACATGACACTTCATGTAAACATTTCGCTTTAAAAAGCTCATGCGTCTATGTCCTGGAATACAAAGGGGGTTAGCAGTGGGGTGGGGTGTGTTGATTTGCTTTGTAATATATGTGCCAGTTTCCTTCCTTTTTTTTTTTTTAATGATATTTATTAAGGTTTCCAAAAAAAAAGTTACATATATAAGAAAAAGAAAAATAGAAAAAAGAAAGAATACAAAATACAGAAAAAATAAAAGAGACTTTAAAAACAAATCAATCTTTCCATGCCTTACATTTCATTTACTTGTTTCCCTGACCTCCTCACGCCTCCCTTTTTTGTATTCCAGTTCAGTTAATTAATTCAGCAATTCCTTTCCCTCTTTGTTTTTATCTTAATCCTTTAACTTAATATATTATAGCTTTAGGTTCTCACCTGTTAACAATCCATTTTTACATACACCTTTATAACATTGCTGCTAAAACCACTTAACTTCATTCTGACATCATTCTAACATTCATTAATTTTACAGTATTTCTGTAAATAGTCTTTAAATTTCTTCCAATCTTCTTCCACCGACTCTTCTCCCTGGTCTCGGATTCTGCCAGTCATTTCCGCCAATTCCATGTAGTCCATCACCTTCATCTGCCATTCTTCCAGAGTGGGTAGATCTTGTGTCTTCCAATACTTTGCAATAAGTATTCTTGCTGCTGTTGTGGCATACATAAAGAAAGTTCTGTCCTTCTTTGGCACCATTTGGCCGACCATGCCCAGGAGAAAGGCCTCTGGTTTCTTCAGAAATGTATATTTAAATACCCTTTTCATTTCATTATAAATCATCTCCCAGAAAGCCTTAATCCTTGGGCACGTCCACCAAAGGTGAAAGAATGTACCTTCAGTTTCTTTACATTTCCAACATTTATTATCGGGCAAATGATAGATTTTTGCAAGCTTGACTGGTGTCATGTACCACCTGTATATCATTTTCATAATATTCTCTCTTAAGGCATTACATGCCGTAAACTTCATACCTGTGGTCCATAACTGTTCCCAGTCAGCCATCATTATGTTATGTCCAACATCTTGTGCCCATTTAATCATAGCAGATTTCAGCGTTTCATCCTGAGTATTCCATTTCAACAGCAAGTTATACATCTTTGACAAAATCTTGGTTTTGGGTTCTAACAGTTCTGTTTCCAATTTTGATTTTTCCACCTGGAAGCCAATTTTCTTGTCCAAATTATATGCCTCCATTATCTGATAATAATGAAGCCAATCTCGCACTTTATTTTTTAGTTTTTCAAAACTCTGCAATTTCAATCTGTCTCCCTCTTGTTCCAAAATTTCCCAATATTTCGGCCATTTGGCCTCCATATTGAGCTTTTTCTGAGCCTTCGCTTCCATCGGTGACAACCACCTTGGGGTTTTATTTTCAAGTAGGTCCTTGTATCTTATCCAGACATTAAACAATGCTTTCCTGACAATATGATTTTTAAATGCTTTATGTGCTTTGACCTTATCATACCACAAATATGCATGCCATCCAAATACATTATTAAAACCTTCTAAATCCAAAATGTCTGTGTTTTCAAGAAGTAGCCACTCTTTCAGCCAGCAAAAAGCTGCTGATTCATAATAAAGTTTAAGGTCTGGCAGGGCAAATCCACCTCTTTCCTTTGCATCCGTTAGTATTTTAAATTTTATTCTAGGCTTCTTGCCCTGCCAGACAAATCTAGAAATATCTCTCTGCCACTTCTTGAAGCAATCCATTTTATCCAAAATTTGCAATGTTTGAAACAGAAACAACATTCTAGGCAATACATTCATTTTTATCGCAGCAATACGGCCTAGCAATGAAAGCTTCAAATTTGACCAGATTTCTAAATCTTTTTTCACTTCAGTCCAGCATTTTTCATAATTGTCTTTAAATAGATTCCCATTTTTAGCTGTCATGTTAATCCCCAGGTATTTCACTTTCTTAACCACTGTTAAACCTGTCTCATTCTGAAACCTCTCTCTCTCAATCGCTGTTAAATTTTTCTCTAAGACCTTTGTTTTTGACTTATTCAGTTTAAATCCTGCAACCTGACCAAATTCTTGAATCAGTTCCAAAACTCTTTTGGTACTAGATTCTGGCTCCTGTAATGTCAGTACTAAGTCATCTGCAAATGCTCTCAATTTGTACTGTTTAGCTCCGACTTGTATACCTTTAACCAATTGGTCCCTTCTAATCATGTTCAGCAGGACCTCCAGGACCGATATAAAAAGCAATGGGGAGATTGGGCAACCTTGTCGTGTCCCTTTTTCTATCTTAAATTCCTCCGTCACCACGTTATTAACAATTAATTTAGCCTTTTGTTCTGAATAAATTGCACTTATACCGTTTCCAAAGCCTTGGCCTACCCCCATCCCCTGTAGATTCTTCTTCATGAAACTCTGTGCCAGTTTCCTTCCATGCAGTGATTTTTATTTGTATTTTATTGTGCTAATAATAACTAATATACCCTTTTCACATCTGTCTTGTTCTTTCCTGCAATCAAAATGACGTTTAGATCTAAAAGTGGCAGGAGGCTCTTTCCTATTATGCTTACAGTGGTTTGTGATACTAAATTACCCATATATATGCAAATAAAAGCAAATTACCATATCGAAACAGAAAGAACCTCCTTTTCAAAATGTGCATGGCAATAATCAAATTGCTGTATGCCATTACAATAACTAAATTTCAATCTTGTAAGTTAAATAATGTGCTTTATATATCTAGTTATCTAACCACCTATTTTGCCTGTAAGCTGCAAACAGTAAAAATGTTCCCTTTCCCCATTTCTCATGTTGTTGTTTCAGAGATTTTATATTCGGGCTTGGTGTTCTCTCACACATGCACACAAAAACCACATAAGTTGCAATTTGAAACACTACTGTGAACAAGAGGCTATTTGGATTGAGGCATTGATGCAGGTTATGACAGGGCAAGGTCATTCAGTATTGGGCAACGCTGTAATTTGTATCATTACTTGCAGGGAAATTGTTAGAGGAGTGGCTGACAAGAACCCAGCCTCTAAAGTCTGACCCAGAGGGAACTGCTAAGAGAAGCAGATCAATCGCTTGCAGCAGCAATCTCATGTCCAGAAGAGACCGGTATGATTAATCCCCTCTTGGAGTCTGATTCACCGACCTTGGCTGCATACTAGACTTCTCTGCTCATAACCATCCTGTCATGCTTCGAGTCAAAGTGGTGAAGCAGTAATAAAAAGAAACAAAAAGCTGGACATTTCCCAGTCACATCACTGCATGATTATGGGTTGACTAGAGTTTTTCTAACCCACATTAGGGCCAGTTCTTAAGATACAGGAGACTGCTGCTCCCATATGGATACATTCCATGCTACTCCAAAACATTAGAACTACAAAACATCTGGGAGTATTCAGCAAAGTAGTGTCCCCTCCCCACTCTGCAACAGAGAAGGACAACACTGGCTTATAAAGCCATCCTGGTCCTTGGCATCTCCCATGTGATCTCACTATTTAAATATTATAGGAATGAATATAGGAAAATAGGAAGGACACTCCTTCTGGGTGGCAAAAATTAATGATTCTGTGTACAGAACCATGGATTGTAATTATTCAATATGTACCTAAATACTAACCTGATCTCAATATAGATAGTTAGGATGATGGCTCATAGCCTTTTCTGAAATAGTGGAATTTGGCCCAACCACAGGTATAAGTGTTAAACCAGCCATCTGAGCAGTTTACTATAAGTAAAGATTGCAATTCAGCTGATAGTGAGGGATGAATGTGAAAAGATTATTACAGGCTGGATGGCACTTGGGAATATAATAAACCATCCAGGCAATTATGATCTCAAGTCTGCTCAAGCTGACATGAAGAAAGAAAGAAAGAAAGAAAGAAAGAAAGAAAGGTAACCAAGTGATATTCTAGGCTTCCATTTGAATCATCCCAACAAATTTCTGTGCTTGTCTATTGTTGTGTATGGAAGCCACTCTGAAGACAGACTTATAAATCGATGGTTGCAATTGGTTTCAGGCATGCCTGGTTTCTAGTGTAATCCAATGGGTAAAAGCTCACAGTCTTCCCTTTCTCTGTGTTGTAAATGTCCCCATTCCTGTCTGGTCCCCAAAATTGCTTTGTGTTTACATCACAATATTGGCCTCAGGGACTCCCATGCAGAGTTGGCAACACTGGGTGCATGCTGAGGCCCATTTGCAATCTGTGCATCCAACTCCTGGCCCTGCTGCTCTTCCTTCTCATTGATGTTTGCTGTTCACTTGCCCTCTCCAAGCAAGCACTGAGAGAAGCGAGGAGAAGGCTCTGCACAGTAATCTCAGCACACCTTGTCCCCTGTCTTGAAGGGTACTGTTAAATGACACCGGAGGGAGAAGCAAAGGTATGTGCAAAGCAGCAGCAGTAAGGAAGAAGAGAATGTGTGCCCACTGAGGGAAGAGGCCCACTGGTAGCATCTTGCTTACCTCCCCCCAAGTTTGAATTGGCACTGTTCCCCTGCTGACATGGGGATTCTCCATACATAAAAAGGCTCTTAGTAGTGTATGTACTTCTATGCTACCAGTATATTGTACTTCCCAACCACTGGTATCCAAAGATTTGGGAGCAAAAGAACAACATTATGTGCATTTTTTGTTGGTAGTATTGTTTGATGCAGTGTACATAATTCTGGCTAACATAGGTTAGTTGGAGTGCCCACACTCCCCCCCCCATAGACCACTTGAAATTTGTTGAGGGTCTTGGTGGACCACAATGCCTGATGTAGCTATTTTGATGTGCTGTGCTACATCCTAATGATTTTTTAAATTATATTTTTATGGACACACCTCGGACCACGTGAATGAAGCTCACAGATCTTTGGTGGTCCATGGACCAGTTTGGGAACCCCTGCATTGGAAGGAAGTCTGCATTCTAAAATATACCAAAGATGCTCCTCTCAAGTGGCTTCAGATAAATCAGAAATCTCCAACTCTTGTTGACAATTTGTGCCACAAAAAATGTCCACCCTTCAGCTTGTACATAGTTTTTATTCATATGAAAACAATGATAGATGATGCTGTTTCTTTTTATGCACTTAAGACAACTCAAATTTATTATTCAGATTTTACATCTGCTTTTACAAATGTAATTATTACTGTTGAAAAGCTTAAATGGAAGTTTTGAATTTACCTTATACAATGATTAATATGTTTGCTTTGCTTTCAGAATGCAGCTAATCGAATGCCTTCATAACATCTTTATGCCAGCATGCAGAAATTCTTACATCACTTCTCTGAGGAAATGGCCACAAGGTAAAAGTCACACAAATAATGTAACTCAGCAGATGACCTTTTCTTGTTGACAAAATCTACAATGTTTTGAGACTGCACAGCTAACCAGGTCTATTTTTGTACAGCAGAGGAATAAACGCATAGACATAAAGAGGAAACTAGACTAGTTTCTGTTATAGCACACCCATTAGTTGATAGTTGGCTCATCTGAATATATGATTCTGTACATAGAGGATAATCTATATAATGATTAGGGGAAGGATATGTCATGCACATTAATCTACTTTCACTGGCGTCAATACAGGGACTAAAAACTTAACTTGTCCAAAATATAGTTCAAAACACTTTCTTGTAGAACCTGTATTGAAGAACGCTTGGTTTCCTGACACCCCTGCAGATTGAATTTGGCTTTCTGTTCCATGCAACTTCCATTTATCCAAATACCCAGTGCTTTCTATGAATGAGATTGTACTAAAATGGTTTCATGTAAATGAGCATTGTGTCAGCAAAATTACAAAACAGCGCTTCTGTGTACTAGAGATGAGCACATTCAGATTATTAAATTGGTTTCTTCACAACAGGTTCCAAATGGTTAATAACAAAACACAAGGCCCATATTTGTGTTAAGACATCTGTTAACAGGTGGAATGAAACCAAAAACACTTTTTATATCAACGCAAAAATGTATGCTGTTATTTTTTTAAAGAAATGCCTTTGAACAATCACATTTGCGTCACTTGGCTTGTACCATTTCAAATAAACATCTGTTTACATTATGAACACGCTGATACATTTGTGTCTGTTGGCTCCATTTCTCATCTAAAAATGCAGTACAAACAATTTTAAAGCACATTCAGTTTAACTTTATACATTCTGATTTGTAGGTATTTCCTCCAGCACTTGCTTATGACTTGGCTCTTTGATAGGAATTTTTTTTAATTCCTGAGCCAACCCCATTCCGAAAGGACCTCTTAATATAAGACTTCTCCAGAAAAGGCTTTAACAATGCTAGTTCTTCGGACCCATCCACCTTGGCTAGGCATCTATTGAGCAGGAGGAGACAGTAATCAGAGTTCCCAGACAGCTGGCAATTCAAAGAAAAAGGATTATTGCTCTGAAGATTTTGGTTTGTTTGTCTGTTTTTTTTTAAAAAAAATAACAGATAAGGAAAAGCCATGTTATGGATTTATATGCTTGTGACAGGGGCACATACGTACGTATACACACAAACTCATTTAGGCTTAAAAAGACATGGATGAATTTGTATTAGCTGTAGATTAAGGGTATAGAATGTCAGGTTTTCATAAGGTCCATGGATATGAAAGCACAGCTTACCTGGAAGAATTGTTAGTATTGTAGACTGTGCTCAGAAGCGAGCCATTTTACTGTATCATTAATGATGTTCTATTGTTCTGGCTTTCTTTTAAGATAGGGCTACTTTTCCTGTTGCTGATTTTTGTGTGCGTGACTAATCATCTAACCGTACATGCTGACAGGAAAAAAAATACCTTTATATAGTCAAACTTCAGAGTGCACGGCTGATGCTTTTTAATGAGGCTTTGAGGTATTATCTTTCCCCAACCTTGTCTTAAGGGCTCAGGGAGACACACAATAACACCCTTTTGACATGTAATCCTTACTAGCACCCTTTGAACTCAGGTAGGCCGACAAATTGCAACTTTTTGTGCCCTGTGAAATTGCTGACCAGGGCTTGGAACCTGGGTCTTCTCCCTTTAAAGGCAGCCATATGCTTTGTCCACCACAGCTTTGAGGGTTAAGATGCTATACGCCTTAGCTGACCAGGCCCTCAGACATGCTTCAGCAATGAATGCGTGGCAGCACTTGTGAATGGCAGCTAAGCTTCCATTCAAAAGTGGCACTGCTGTCCACTGCTGAACTCACCATAGCCAGTGAATGGTGTCATGGTCAGGTGAGGCTGCTAAGTGGCCCTTCCAAGCCATGGGACCAGTGGATAGGGTCTGACCTGGTAGACTGCTGGCCCCAGGCCTGAGTCCTTGCCCTATCACATAGTTCATGCAATCTGGCCCCTCCTCAAAACCACCATGTGGAAAACGAAAACAGTGGCTCTCATGGCAAGGTAGGACATGGGAGATTTGTGGCAATGCAGCTGCCAGTGACAGGTACTCATGGGAGACTCAATGAGCCCCAAAGCAGCACAAGCTGTTTGTGGGGAGGAAATTTAAATACTCTGACCAGCAGACCTTGCCATTTTCTATCCACTATTTAAATTTCCTACGATGTCCCAGAGCAACACTGTGTTGCAGGCAATGTTGGAAATTTAAGTGGATTCTAGGTTCAGTCACCCAGTGCTACCCAAAGGACAGGACTAGTAAAATCATCTAAAGGAGGTAGGCTGGCATCATTAGTGGGCCGAGGCAGTGAGGTCCTGCAGCTGGCCAAGGGTGCTGAGTGCCTAAGCCCGGCCTGATGACTTCATTTTAGCTGAGAAGCATGAGCCGCCTGCACCTCCAGGCTCGGGCTGGACTAGGTAGATCTAGTTTTGGACTCATGGGTTAAAAATTAAGTTGTACCCCCAGTGGGGTCCTGGGATCCCCCAAATCCTGGAGATTTCTAATCATAGAGCTAAAAATCTCAAGGGAGACTGGCCAAACCATCTGTGGGCTTTCCTCGCTTTCCAGAAATACCCAACACTTACAACATGCTTAATGCAAAAGCTCTTGAACTTCCAGAGGTGTAATAATAACCACACAGGGTTTGGAATATTTTATAATATATTTTAAAGGCAAATAGACAATGAATATGGTGTGTGCGTGTGCGTAATGAAACAATGAATGCATTTAATGATTCATATTCTTGCAATGAGATCCATTAAGAATGCTATTAAAAATGGATGACCTCTAATCAATATCCTGGCCAAAAAACAAACAAACCCCAACAACAAACCTCATAATTATTGCACAGAAACAGAAGCTTATTGATATTTAATTGAAATTCAATACAAGGGGCAGACTAATGGGTCCCACTTATACAGGCAATGCATTTTATTAATTAAAAGGTGATTGCATAATTGTAATATGAAACTACTTTTAGTTTACAGCTCTATAAATATAAGCACAGAGCAATCCTAACTCCCACCTTGTTGAAGGTGGAGGGTTAGGATGTGCCAGATGTTTTGCACAACCTTTTTTTTTTTTTTGCTAGGCTACATGATAGAGCCCCCCTGTTCTCCCTCCTGGCAGAAGTGGCTGTTAACAGACTACCTCTTGCTTCTGCTGTACTGACTAGAGTGGCACAGCAGAAAAATGGGGGGGGGGGACTGTGTTCATCATCTGCCCTGGCCAGTTTGAGCAGAAGGACTTTGAATGTAGCAGGGTTCCACCACTGACCACCCCAGTTGGGAGTTAAGTTTGGTAGCTAAGTCTCTTTGAATTCATTGAGTCTTATTTTTGAATGTATAGGATTGCACTGTTACATCCATTTTGATTCTCAGGTTGTCTATAAATCCAGAAATGGCCCTGGTCATTCCATATAAGGTGTGTGTGTGATGGAGAACACCCATATTGAAAGATGCTATCTGTCCCAAGTTGGATCCAATTTATCCTTGCAATTAATGTTTTAGTGCTGGCTCTGTAAAAACCACCATCGATGCAGAGACGGATTATATCATTTAGAAGCATTTTTGCTCATTTCATTTCCTCAAAAGCTTGTCTTCATTTGCTTTAACGATAAAGCTAAGTTTTCTAATTACATGCTCTAGACTCAAGCTCTGCGATACCCACCTATATACAGTGTATATTACTTGTCTGAACAGGAAGAAGTTCACTGGGCACTGAAATGAACACTCCCAAGTTAGGTGGAGTTACGAATCTGGACCATTTGTCCATCCTGCCCAGTGTTTGCTGCTTTACTGACTGGCGATGACACTGCACAGTTTCAAGGCCAAACTAGTTGCAAGATTAAATGTGTATTTGCATTGGTGGCAATGGGGCATTTCCTCCTTATGCAAATAGCAACTTCAGAGGATGAAGTTTCCTCAGGATTGGAGCTGGGGAGGAAATGGTTACATTCCTTCCCCATACCTGCTGAGATGCTGCTAATGATCAGATCCCTGCTCCATGGGTGCTATTTGCATATATATAGCCATTTTAAATGCACATTTAACATCATGTCTTCCTGGAGATGCTAGGACTTGAACCTGGGATCTTTTGCAAGCGAAGTGTGTGCTGGACCACTAAGGTATGGTGGGTCTTCCTTCCTCCTAAGCCATCTTTCAGAGGCATGCCACAACTTGGGAGGAGAAGGTACTGGAAGCAGCACTGTAACACTATGGTAAAGTCTAGTGGAGGAAGCTTCAGTCAGATTACATACGACCCAGTGTAAAAGGAGTGGCCAAATTCCCGCAGGTGGTGGTTTCCTGACAATATTACACATAGCTAGAACAAGAAAAGTGGAGAATGAAGAATTCTACAAGATATTTTTACAGCTGTGGGATATACAGAAACACGGGACTTAATTACTGTAATAAAACTACAGTCTAATTGAGTATTACAAAGCATCAATGATCATCCTGGACAATATATCTGCTTTTTCAGTGGTAATTTCTTTTGATTCGCAGAAAATTAATTTATCTCACTTGTCATTTGGCTTTGGTCCAAAGAAACTTAGGAGCAGCAGGATCTTTCAGCGCACGGTGTGTTTGGAGATAAACCGCATCTTGTATGTGAGGATTGGGCACAAGGGGACCCTCTGGTGCTAATGAATGCAGTTGCTCATGGTCTTACTCTACAGCTGGCTGTGATGCTGTTCCCTCCTGCCCGGTAGGTATTGCAAATCCACACAATCTGTTTCATTCCATGTATTCTTATGGATCTTGAGGATGCTAGTGACTACAACAAAAGGAAGCCCTTTTGGTTGTGCCACATGCTGCAGATGTTCCTCATGACTCCTGTGGTGATGCCTACCTTGTGGGTCTCCTGGAAACCCTTTGGGGAAGATAGCACTGTCAGATTATGGGAAGGGAAATGAGTCGCTACCTGGGGTAGCCAAGCATGATTCAGAGGGGAAAGTGGGTCTGGTGCTCTCTCCCAGGACAAGGCAATACCTCCTAGAAAGGAAGGAGTCCCATCCACCTAGACGTAGTGCCCACTTGCAGGCTAGACATTCCCACTGGAATAGAGATTCACACCCCACCTTGGCTTAAAAGTTTGTCACTGATCCTGGACCCGTGAATCATAGCTCTTTCTTCTAGATCAGGTTGTTCTGCCTTGTGGGCTGTATTACTATTTTCCTGTTGCCAAGTCTGTACCATTCTCCTGCTTTAATAAAAATCTCCCCCTTACATACAAGTCAGAGCATCTGCTGTCATGTTTTGGGATGGGAGCAAGGACAGCATATCCCACCCCACCCCTAAAGGTAAAGGTAAAGGGACCCCTGACCATTAGGTCCAGTTGTGGCCGACTCTGGGGTTGTGGCACTCATCTCGCTTTATTGGCCAAGGGAGCCGGCGTACAGCTTCCGGGTCATGTGGCCAGCATGACTAAGCCGCTTCTGGTGAACCAGAGCAGCACACGGAAACGCCGTTTACTTTCCTGCTGGAGCGGTACCTATTTATCTACTTGAACTTTGACATGTTTTCTGCTAGGTTGCTAGGTTGGCAGGAGCAGGGACCGAGCAACAGGAGCTCACCCCGTCACGGGGATTCGAACCGCCAACCTTCTGATCGGCAAGTCCTGGGCTCTGTGGTTTAACCCACAGCGCCACCCGCGTCCCCCACCCCACCCCTAGTCATGCTTTAAAAAATATATGGCAAGTTGCAGTTATGTTGAAATCACTTTTGTACCACTTTAACAGCCATGACTTTCCCCAAAGAATCCTGGAAACTGTAGTTTGTTAAGGATGCTGAGAGCTGATAGGAAAGCCCTCACAGAGCTACAATTGCCAGCTCTATTAACAAACTACAGTTCCCAGGACTCTTTGCTGGAAGTTGTCATAAGTGTTAAATTAGTGTAGGAAAGGCTTTAGCAGTATGGTGTGGATGTGACCATAGTATGGAAGGAGATGCTCACACGCATCCCCTTCAAAAGCAATGTGACTAGAAGGTATCAACACCTTTACTTGAAATTGGAGCCCTGGCAAAACTACACATGGTGTGGTGCAATGTGTGTGCCTGGCTCTACTAATGTCTTCGTCCTTTTCCAAAAGCAGATGCTGATGGGGCAGTTTTGATTGGAGTAAAGACCCAAATTGCTTTGCCAGCCTAATTCCCCAATACAACTCATTTCCCAGAAGCTGCTCTTCACCATAGGTCCAATCCAACTGCATTTATGTTTTCTTCTGTTCAGCTAATAGCAGCTGAGTGGTGATGATTTATACTAGAAAATCAGCACCAGCAAAAAGTCTCTCAGTTGTAGGGAGATGGATACAATGGCTTGTATCCAACCATTCCCTTCATCTGACAGAGCCTTTTGTGAAGGAGTTCTTCTGTCAGTCTAAGACTTTCCTTCCAGGGCAGGGAACCTTTTAATGCAGTCCATTTAGTATGTATGGGAACCCCCATTCAGATCCCTTCACAACCCCAGGAAAGTCTCTGGCTGTTCCTTCAGAGAGTTGTGGAGAATATAAAATATAAATTGCACGACACAGCGTGCAATATTAAATACACCGTTTCCCCAAAGTCATAAATAATCCCAGTGAAGCTTTTGAGAATGAATTCCCAGAATTAAGCAAGTGCTGAAATATCATCTTTAGTTTCCTATAGGAATGTTGTGGTGTTTTAATGAGATATTTTTTTAAAGGCTCAGGTGTGGAGTAACAAAAAATAATAATAAATGTTTTTATTATTACAAATAATGGAGCAGCTGCCCACGTGTATGGAAGTGATTTCCCCACCCTCCAACAATATTTTGTCTAACACTGAGATTGTACTGTTAGTTTTGAATGTACAAACAACACATTTAAAACATATTCAAAGCACACACATCCCCGCCAAGAATCCTTAGATGCTGGGGGGGGGGAGTATGTTAAAGGTGCTGCGCATTGTAGTTCTGTGTGAGGTAAACTACTTCCCAGGAATCATGAGTGGGATGCTTTGCATTATTATTCAAATATCTGCTAAATGAGTTTTGCACCTGTGCATCTTAAGCTTTGAGAAATAATTGGTTTAGCACTCTCTCTTCTTAACCAAGTAGAGTCTTTCCGCTGTTAGATACAGCTTTAACTTTCAGAAAATATTAGTACTGTGCTCATTTGTTAAAATGTGATCCCCCACCCGCACCTTCACCCCACCTAAACATTAAAACCATTCTGTTCTCTTCAAATCTATAACTGGTCTCCATCATAGAATCACTGTTTTAAGTTAATAAAGATATAAGTAGTGCAATCCTATACAGGTCCTACACACACTGATCTGGGGGAAACTCCCATGGAATCCAAGGAGACTTACTACTTAATAAATAAATATAAGTCAGATTGCACTGCTAGATAGATATATTGGAGAAAAGTGATTGGGCAGGGGGGGGGAGAAGAAGCCATACTAAATCAAGTTTATAGCATCGAACACATTAATTCTCAGTTTCACGCTTCAATCACTGGAACAGCATCCCTCACATAAAGTGACTAAAGTCTGGATTCATGGAAATCAATAAGTGGAAAGTTGTTACAGCTTTTGTAGATGCACAAAAATGCTTAACAGAACAAGTCCTATGTAATGCCATAGCTAGACTTCCATAAAGGGCATTTGACAGAATTAAGTTGAGTATGTTTAATAATGTTGGTGCTTAAAGGAGTTTTATATGATATTTTAAAAATTAATTACATAGTATATCTCTAGCTAAGTAAGGTTTATTGCTTACCGTAGAAGGGACAAGAGGGTAACATCTCCATATCTGCATTGCCGAGATCCAGAGAATTAATAGAACATTTAGCCTGAGGAGACTGGATAAAAAACACCCAAAACGGAAAAAACCCCATGTATTAGTTTAACACCCATTCAGAAGACAAATGGCATTTTATTTATTTTATTTTTTTTAAAAAATAATAATTATTTTTTAAATAATGTTTATTAAAATTTCACAAGAGAAAAAAAATGGCATTTTATACACGATGCTATAATTTCCCCCAAACATATATCTGATATATTTACCTGATCATTTCTTCTATTCTATTTTATGAAACTTTCAGCTGCAAGTAGAAATCCACAGCTGTATAAGCACTCCCCTTATCTTACTCCTAAACAACCATTTTATACCAAAGGTTCAGGAGCAAAAATGTCACCAAATCACATTTATGTCTGACTAATTGGTCACCGGTTGGCCTTTATTCTTGTTAAATGGGAGTGGGGAGATGCAAGGAGGCAGCTTCGTTCCCAGCATGGAGATACCAAGTGACTAAACTGACAACATTGCCATTAAAAGCATGGCATTTTAACGAGGCATTTAAAATCATTCACACCTGGCCTTTGTCTCTGTGGGACAAATTGTCCAATGTCTACACTGTTTTATAAAGGTGTACACTGTATGCTAAATTAGCTCTACCTGTTGTATATAAGGCTTGGGAGGGGGAAAAGGGGGGGAGAGAATCCCCACACCAATTTATTAAGCAAGAATATTTTAAATAATTTTTATTCCAGGTTGTATTTTTAAAATTTGTACATTATATTTGCACAGCACTTTGCCTACTTCCCTAGTGCACAATTTTTAATAGGAATGGGACTAAATCTGGTCAGATCTTAGATGGTCAGCTTAGCAGGTGTGTCATGGACCAATCTGAGGTAATCCTACAGTAATGGCACTCTCACAGATGTGGATGGAAGCATGTAGCTCAAGTGACAGAGCACCCACCTTACATGCAAAAGATTCCAGGTTCATCCCAGGGGCCTCTCCCAGCCTTGCCATGTGTGCGCACACACACACACACCAACCCTATTTCTTTCTTCACCCTGGCCTGGCCACAGAAGATGCTCACAGGTTGCAGTGTCAAACGAGTCAAGGGAGGGAGAGGAATTTTGCTGCTTGGCTTCATTGGCACAGAATTTGCTGTTACACACATAGTCACCTAGACAGCATTTTAAAAAGTAGAGACATCACCTTGCCAACAAAGGTCCGTATAGTAAAAGCTATGGTTTTCCCAGTAGTGATGTATGGAAGTGAAAGCTGGACCATAAAGAAGGCTGATCGCCAAAGAATTGATGCTTTTGAATTATGGTGCTGGAGGAGACTCTTGAGAGTCCCATGGATTGCAAGAAGATCAAACCTATTCATTCTTAAGGAAATCAGCCCTGAGTGCTCACTGGAAGGACAGATCATGAAGCTGAGGCTCCAATACTTTGGCCACCTCATGAGAAGAGAAGACTCCCTGGAAAAGACCCTGATGTTGGGAAAGATGGAGGGCACAAGGAGAAGGGGACGACAGAGGACCAGATGGTTGGATAGTGTTCTCGAAGCTACCAGCATGAGTTTGACCAAACTGCGGGAGGCAGTGGAAGACAGAAGTGCCTGGCGTGCTCTGGTCCATGGGGTCAGGAAGAGTCGGACACGACTAAACAACTAAACAACAGCAACACATAGTCACATAAAGGACACAGAGCCCTTGGAAAGAAGGGATTGGTTCACCAAAGGTTAAACAATCTGCCATGTTCCTACTATAAAGGTCTGCACTCGCTTCTGCTAATCACGAGCATTCGGCCAGCTCTTGGTTAGAACGAAGCTTCTCCTTCTGTTTCTCAAATTGTCTTTCTCTGTTGTTTCTGTATCTTGCTGGGATTTCCATTATCACAGAGTGAGAATCAGAACTGCAACTTGCCAGTGGTGGCTCATTTTCTAGTTTGCACCTTGTGATGGCCTGAAGCCAAACAAATCGATCGACAAATTCCAGAAAACTAGTAAGCAAGCTTGTCTTTATGCCAACTTGGCACAGTGAAAGCCAATGCAATATTTATACAGAGATACTCAGCAATTCCAACCAAATGTTGGAAGACAAATGTCGCTGTGTGGTGAGATGACCCACATCAGTTTGTTTGTTTTTTAGTAGAGCAAAGGTTATATGTGCTCTGGCTGTGGACAAATTCAGAAGAAAGCCAAACAGACAAGCTCTTGCTCATGACTAGAAACTCTACAGACTTGGCATAGCTTATTATGTGGGTGAGCCAATTGCAGGGAACCCCTCCATGCAAGCAGGAGCTCATGGGGCTTCTTCTCACACAGCTGTATCACTTCACTGATAAATAAAGAAACTTTGGGGGGTAGGACAAAAGTGCAGCCCACCTGTTCACTCTATACTAGAAGTGGGTAACCTCCAGCCTATGGTACCCAGCAGGGATTCTCAGTTGACCATGGGGCCATTTCCCCCAAATTATGCCCACCTGCACCACTCCGACATCACAGGTGTTGCGAGGTCTGGGGCACATGACTAGAAAGGAAAAATCAGGATTGTCCTGGTTATTCCTTAGCAAGTGAGCCTTGCATTTGGTGCCAAATTCAACCCCTGCACGAATCAGCGGCATTGTGGTGTTCCTAGTAAGCAACCCCAAGTGCAGCCAATCTCTGTTGCAAGCAATGGTTGTACTCAGCACTAATCAGCAGATTGGGACTGATCGTTGTGCCCACACCTGCCCTACTCACTCCTGCCCTGCATATGCCATATTTAAAGGGCTATTTACAAACCAGACTCCAGGTGATCCTTCAATGACTAAGTTGCAGATAGACATTTCAATAAATACTGAAGTTGTTGGAAAGCAAATGTCAAGAACACCATTCTTTAATATCAAAATAAACCTAGTGGGGTTTTTTCCTGTTATGCACTTTGATGTGCTCCTATTTTGGTTTCCTGCCAGCCATGCATTCCTGAAGGAGTACAGCATTCCTTTAGTTTTCTTCCTTTGCAATATTTTGGAATCTGAGCTCACTGGGCATGCTCAGTCCTCATCATGTCTCCTCCCCACCTACATGACTGTGTTTTCCACCAGCAAATATATTTTGTACCTTTGAAAAAGTTAACCCAGTCCTGCTGATAAAGATAGGTAATTGGGGAGTGATTTTGCTATTATTAGTATATATCAGGAGTGGGGAACTTGCGACCAATCAGATGTTGCTGTATTCCAACTCACCTCACCCCTCACCATTAGCCATGTTGAGTGCAGCTGATGGGACTCAGAGTTTCAGAACTTCTGGACTCTTCACCCCCTAGAGAGCCAGTGCGGTATAGTGGTTAAGAGTGGTAGACTCGTAATCTGGTGAACCAGGTTCGCGTCTCCGCTCCTCCACATGCAGCTGCTGGGTGACCTTGGGCTAGTCACACTTCTTTAAAGTCTCTCAGCCCCACACCTCACAGAGAGTTTGTTGAGGGGGAGGAAGGGAAAGGAGAATGTTAGCCACTTTGAGACTTCTTTTGGTAGTGATAAAGCAGGATATCAAATCCAAACTCTTCTTCTTCTTCTAGAATACTGAGCAGCCTTTCTCCCAAACAGGTGCCTTCCAGCCAGCTTGGACTACAACTCCCATCAGCTGCAACTGGATGCTGATACAGAATACAGTGCTGGAGCAATGGAGGATTTCGCAACATGTAGCTAAGGTCACTTTCTATTACCTCTTTCCTTTGCTTTTAAACTGGCTGTTAGATTCAGAGTGCTAGCTAGGTGTTAATTTTGTGACCAGCAATTAAAAACAGATATCTTTAGGAGACAATTAGCTTAAACCACTTCAGTGGAACGTCTTCTAGCTTTTACTAGCTGATGGGTTAAGAATGTCTCCTTGATAATGTTTCAAGCACCATCTGTTTATTTGTCCATGAATAAGGTCTAATAACACAAGTAAAGCTTAAATGGATGCACAGAATGGGTAGGGGGGAAGCAACAACGTGTATTTTAAAAGATGAGAGTAAATTGCTTTAGAGGAAATGTAAGAAATAAAAGAAACATTGACAAAGCCTTTTTTTTTAGTGTGACTATTAGAACTTTAGAAAATACAGGTGTCACAGTAATAGATTGTCCTTGAGACTTCAGTGCTGATAATGTTAAAACAACAACAAAAATCCCCCTCCATCCATAGTTCTAAGGTTTGTACTTGAGTGTCTTGGATCATTACGTTTTAAGAGCTCTACACACAGTTGATAGCCATGGAAGCTTTTTGTTCCCATGTTTTGATATTTTTTCATTGCAGGAATGAAAAGAACCAGGATCTAGAGTGACTTTGCATTGGGAATGCAAAGGAAAAGCATAAGTCAACAACAGGTTCTGCCCCGTGAGAGAATAACAATAAGAGATGAAACAGTCAGATACAGAAATGGGGGGGGCAGAGACAGATAATGTGATGGACTATTTAATAACATAAATATGGATCAGGCCATTGGCCCATCTAGTCCAGTATCCTGTTCTCACAGTGGCCAAACACTACCTATGGGAAACCTGCAAGTGAAACATAAGTGCAACAACACTTCCCTCCCTCCAACTTTCTTATCTTTAAAAACTTCTAACCACAATAAACAAAACAGAAAAAGGTGGTCTTGCTGATGCATCAAACTTAAGTCAAGGCACGACTCACTTGTGGAAGATCAGTGTGGTAGCAGGTACACACAGAAAGCATTGTTGACTGAAGTGTGCACTGCTCTGAAATCTGACATGGGGAAGGGTGGTGGAGGAAGAGGTGTGCGGGAGGAGCGCACTGCCCCCGGCAGCGCAATCCTGGTGGGGTGCCATCACAGCTGCCCCCTCCCCACCTACGGGCGGTGCACCATGCCCCCAGGATGCATGCCATGCCCCTATGGGCAGCACACCACACCCCCAGGACGCGTGCCAGCCCCGCCCCCACCTGCTGCCTCCCCCGTGCCGGAGCACGAAGCTCCGCCACTATGCATAAGTGCTTAAAATACATAACGAAGTGGCTGGGAGCCATTACAAAGAAGGCTTAAAATGGCCAATGGTGCTGCAGTTAGTTCAAGGGTGGGGAAACCTTTTGAGACCGAAGGCCACATGGCCATATTTCTTTCTTGACAACCTTCAGGAGGGCCAAACGCCAGTGGTGGGTGGCATCAGAGGCTAAAGTGGGTGGAATAATGAATACCCGTGCACAGTTGGCAAGTTTACACACACACACACACACACACACACACACACACACACACCTCTTTATCCTCTATCCAGACAAGCGAGAGGCATTATTAGATTCCAAGGACACGTCTCAGCCAGGCAAAAGCATTCATAGCACATAGCAGGGTGTGGAATGGGAAAAGTTCTGCGGGCCACACAGGACCCAGGAAGGCCGCATTCAGACCCTGGGACTGAGGACCTCCACCCCGTGTTCATCTATTAAGACAGAATAGGGTGGCAAAGGAAAGTGTGGAGAGAAGAAAAGGAGGAACGCGTCATGTGGTCACCTGCTTGTTCAGACCAGAGTACTCACTCAGTGTTGCAAGCTGGAACCAATTGGATAAGTGTTTGTGCATGACCTATCAAGAACAGTTTCTGAATAGCTGCAGTGCCAGCAGATTTTTGACAGCTGGCCAGCACTGAGCTGTGTCAGGAGGATTGCGCTATCTGTATCATAAATCTACAGGCCCTTGCTCAGGACTTTTGGAGGACATGGATCACGGGATGTCAGGGATTCACAGATGCCCTCGGAAATGGGGAATGGAACCCACTGTGAAGTGCACACAACGAGTCTGTGACACTTTCCTGCTGTTTGATCCCTCAAGTCCTTGCTAGAGCTGAGTTCATGAAGAGGATATCAACCTTAATTTGCATGAAAATGGAGCTCAGTAAACGCAGATACAATTAAAACCAAGGCTAAACTTTATTAAAGAAGGCTCAAACCTATACAACTTTTCACTGTACCAGAACCATCCAGTTAATCCGCTTATCTCTTAGGGCTGAACGTAGTGTACCTGCCGAGGCTTCAAATGACAGGATTTACTCTCTGAACAAGGCTTGATTTGCTGAATATGTAAATAGTCAAATATTCTCCTGACAGTTTGCATGACTGAAGTTACTTGTCAATGCTCGTAAGAAGCATAGTATTAAAAACGCATATATTCAATTGCATATATATATATATATATATATATATATATATATATATATATTTCTCTTGAGATTGTTCAGATGGATAAGACTCTTGCAGTTCAATCCTGTGCATGCTTACTCAGAAGTAAACCTAACAAAATTGGATGGGCTGTACTTCCAGGTTAAAAGCACAGGATTAAAACTGCTGCTGTAATTTAGAACCACTTTACAGTGGTACCTCGGGTTATGAACTTAATTTGTTCTGGAGGTCCGTTCTTAACCCGAAACCGTTCTTAATCTGAGGTGCGCTTTTGCTAATGGGGCCTCCCGCTGCTGCCACGCCACCGGCGCACGATTTCTGTTCTCATCCTGGGGCAAAGTTTGCAACCCGAGGTACTACTTCCGGGTTGGCGGAGTTTGTAACCCAAAGTGTTTGTAACCTGAAGCGTTTATAACCTGAGGTACCACTCTACTTAGGTTGTGTGCAAATTAGACATTTAAACTACAGTTCCCACAATTCTCTGGGGGGCGCCTTACATGTATGGTGTGTACGCAGCCTAAGAGAAAGGAGTCAGCTACATATTTCATGGTGTGAAATTCAAAAAATAAAATATAATCTGGTAATACCCAAGGACAAGAGAAAATTCATTTCTGCCCTGGCACTGCAGCTGTTAGTACAATATCCATTACAATAGTAATAGCCTATTTATTATGAATCATCCCCAGTGAGTACAGTATATTCCCTTTTAGTAAAAAAAAATGGTTTAAAGCAACACCACCAGCAGGATAAGCTTCCTCAACAGCAGAAAAGGCTTGCCTAAACAAATAGGTTTTCAACAGATGTTTGAAGCACCCAATGCGTATAGAGCTTCCCAAACCTAGTCTAGTAAGGCATTACAGAGGCTGATGCTATAGCTGGAAAGGCCCATTCTTGTGTGGTTTCTAAACAGCAATCCAATGGCTATGGTGCGGCCAGCAGTCCCTCATCTGAGGAACATGAAGATCAGCAGCTCCACTTAGCTGATTGCAGTCTCTGGGAGCTTGTGACCAAGAGCTTGTGACCAGGACTTGTAAACAGGGGCGTGGGATTGGTGGAAGAGACTAAGAACAGTGAGCTTGGGTCTTTTGGATGAAGGCTGGTTGCTTGTCTGAGCTGTTTGGAGGCTTGATTGTGCATTTGTTTGTGGGTGTGACCATGTACTCTGCTAGCACCAGGTTGGGGGAGGATAATCTCAACATGTATCAGTGGTGTTCAGTCTCCCCATGGTGTCTTTTAAAACTAGCCCTTTGGGAGTTTTATCATATCTAAGGTATAAATATATCCTCTTGCACAGGAGGTTGCAAGACAGTGGTGTTGCCTATAGTCAGACATTTCAACAATTTGCAGCAAAATAATAATAATAATGTTCCATTGTCAACAATTGACAGCAAAGGCAGAACATCTTGCTCCTAAATTATAACCAGGCAAGTAGTACACCCCATGACATGACTGTTTTTACCGAAGTATCTGCTCTGAGAATGACAGAAATATAAATTACTTGTCCAGGTGTGTTTTGTGGCTCCAGCCTTAAGAAGATGCAAAAATACTGTTTAATGTGTCTCAGTCATAGTTCTCTATTTATAAATGTAATTCCTAATATGTAAGTATATTTTTCCTTCCATCTCCTTCCCCATCCCATTATACTTTAAATATTCAGGAAGAGTGTGGGAAGAAGACATATATGTTCCTTTGCATAATTCTCACAATACGAGTCAAGTTTGCCTTTGCTCTGTCTCTGGGCAGAAACTGCTAATTATGTCCATTGCACCCAATCCATGACTGACATAAACATTAAGTGATGCATCTTCTGCATCTTCTGATCCTTTTTTGCGAAAAGAGACAATTTCCTCAGGGACATTGGTGGAAGCAACCAAACCTGTATTCATAACATTTCGCACACAGCAAGAATAACCTATTTTCTTAAAATAAAATAAAAATCTTAACCACAACCAAGCATTTAAACCCCCAAATGCTATCAATATTTTCAGCATTCCAACGGACAAGGAAAGTTTCTACTTGATTTGAACACCACAGAAGCAAAATATGATCTGGGGTTTGGGTGCATTTTTATTATTTGTTTATTTTTGGAATTCCAAAAATGCTGGTACACTTTTATCTGATATAATAAAGTATCATTTTAATATGGAAGACAACACAGGCAGCAAGAGGCACACAACAAATCTGAGAGCCATAGAGAAAAGCGATTAGCATATCTGCTTGGTTCTCCTCCCCCCTCCCCTCCCCACCCGCGTGTCAATATAAATTAGACTTGGTGAAGCTTCTCATATGGATTACTAAGGGAACTGCCACCTTGGAAGGAGATATCAGCCTCCAGTTGAAGACACCTGTCAATGCTGAAACTTAATTTAGGGTCAGGCAGGAATAGATGTCCCATCGGTCATCTGTGAAATGATGGCAAACAGTTTTGAATAGAACAGCAAAGATGAGTACCCATACAATGACAAGAAAATTCGGCATAGCACAACCATGAAAATCAATATTTCAAGCAGTGGCAGAAAAAACTGCTGTCATACTGGCAGAAGGAAGCAAAATGAGATCCCAGTACAGCCGAATCTACAGACTAGTTAAGCCAAAATGCCAGGGTTGAAGCCAATCCTGTTCCTACTGAAGGCATGGGTGCTAAATCAACTTAAATCCAAGTACTTCAGCTAAACCGGATTGAACTACAACAAAAAAAGCAATAAAAAGCATCTATTAAAACTGTGCTGGAGAAGGCCTAAATAACAACTTGGGTAAATACGTTCAAAGTAAAGCTTATTACGAAAGCAAGCATTGCTACATGCTGGAT